AAGGACTACAGATCCTAACTGTGCCTGCTGTCCCCCGGACTCTCTCGACTCCTAGTCTTCTGTTTGCTTGCTTAAGCTTTACTGAAGCCAAGGGAAGAGTGTGATTGGCATCCGAAGATACCACGTGGCAAGATGTTCTGGAGAAGTTGTTTACCCTGTTGCTGCAAGACTACATAGGCTTATTATGCACCATTTCTTTTGAATGCAAGAAGAGTCCCAGGCTGGGAAGATTTCAGGCCTCTGGGCTTCCTTTTTTAAAAGGAGAAACTACGTTTTTCACAAACGCACGCAGAATATCTCTGCTTTTCGTTGATTCCAGCTCCTGTACGATGTGCTTGAATATTCAGATCTGACACACACACCATTTCCCTGTAAGAATTCTAGTCTCTCTGTTCCAAAAGCAACGCTGGCTTTACAATGATCTGGCTAATGTGAGTGCGGAGGACTGTCTGTGGTAACCATCTAAGAATGTTAGAAACAGCTGTTTCGGGAGTATTGCCTGCATCTCCCGGCTGGTTCTGTTCTTTAGTTTGCTCTGTATCTATTTCTGTTGGAGAAGATTGAATACTTCAAAAAATACAAAGGGAATCAGCCAAGTTGTTGGCAAGCCGCTGTAAGAGTTCATGCTCTGCGATTTGGTAGCCTCCCCAAGGCCCGCACTGGGGCCGGGGGTGTTTGTCACAATGCTTTTTTTTATTTTTCTGGTGCCTCATATTGACCTTCTGAGGTGGTGGTGCTATTCGCACAAGGCCTGAGCCCACTCAGTTCCAATCAGGGGGCTTTCTTTCCCTGTGAACAGGCTATGTCCTCAGCCCAGGCACCTCTTGGCCTCAGTGGGCTTCCCGGGAGCTTTGCGGAGGACTGAGTGCAGGATGCAGTTTGCGACTTTGAACAGAAATGGCGCGCTGGCATTGAAGGCATTCCAGTCAGAATCCCTCACTGTGCTGGTGCTTTTCTCTCCAGCAGGCAATGCTGTTTTAACACGAGCATCTTGCTGGTTTCATTACTTCCTCTGTCATTCACTCAGGTCTAGGTTCTCATTTACAACTAATATGAAGTTTTACATGTACAATGTTTATACTCAACGTTTTAAACAGTGTAACTGTTTAGTATGAAAGAGAGCAGAGACCTTCAATTAATCTCTGTCCAGAAAATATCCAGCTTTAATTTTAGATGCTTGATTTCCTTAACACCCAGAATCTGTGATATTTCGTAAGCAACCTCTGAAACTGCTTGAGCCAGTCATTGCTTTAAAAGGAGCAGGGCAGACAGGGATTTAGTTTACATGTGTTCAGTGGACAATCATGGAGTATCGTTACCAACTGCACACAGTAAATGATGGTAATGAGCAATTTAATCCAAGAGGATGTCGGTGTAAGGAGTTCAAGCCACCAGACTTGCGGCTGTGTCTGGTCTGTGGCTGGGTGCTGCTCAGTAATGTGGATACTGCACACTGGACTGAACAGCTGTAGTGCGTATTTTTGAGAATCTTTTGCCTTTGCAAACAAAAAAAAATATTTTTTGTATGTTACAAAATCATTATTCTTGTTTCAGATCCCTGACTTGTATGGGCTGCCACCTGATATGGTACCAACTTTCCCTTAAAATTTCAGTCTGCATTTGTAGGTACTTGTTTCACTGATGACATATGTGCACAGCTATTACAGGGAGATAGCTTGGTCTCGCTTGCCAGATGAATTACTTCGGTAGACTGCTAGGTTCCCCATTTCCACTAAAGATTAATCTCATCTTTAGACTGATTGTGGAACCACTGAGTCAACTTGATATAACAGTCAACAAATACATATTCATTTCCTGTCCTAAACTCATAGGTAACGTTGCTGGTGCCGTTAAACGGATGCCACTTTCCACCCCAGAGGTGGCTGCATTTCACTGTTGGCTATATGGATCCCTTTGGGATGGTTCTGCAAATCAGATGCTATCGGATAAGCCACTTCACACTAGGTGGTCTGAGATCTAAAAGCCGCAGAAGTTTTGCATTACTGTAGTAATCGCATACTTCAATTTTTGGTATAATGTTGGTAGTATTTTCTCATAACCATTGCATAGATAACCACATGTTTAGACTACAGATAAGATTCTGTTCCAAACTTCCAGGAGCTATCCCCTTGTCAAGTGCTGGAATAATTCTGCACCCTAAGGGTAGCAGAAACCTATCTAATTTGGATGGTCTACAAAGCAGGCACAATAATACTAATGAACAACGATAAAGCAACGGTGGTGAGGAATCATTGTTCCCTGGCAGGGGTTAATGTTTTTAAGGACTCTGACTGCATTTATTTAGGTTTTACAAATATTAGTGCTTCTGTTCCCCTTTTTCTCTTTCAGGGGGCAGCTGGTCCAAGCACTCGCCCAGCAACACTAGGGGAGCTGGGAACTTGCTCTGAAAATGCACTTGCATTTCTTGTATTAATTGGCACTACCCAAGCAGTGCCTGTTTGGTGTTTGTACAGAGATTGTGTGTGTACATGGGTCACGCAAACCTCTCTAGCACAGCAGGATCAGAGCACTGCCCCAACCTACAAAAAACCCACACGTCCATTGGCAGAGCTTTTTAAAACATCCCTCAGCTGTGGCCTCCCACCACTGTAGGTTACTGCAGCTACCTTGCAGAAAGCTGATTCGCTTGGACCATTTTTGTCTTGCTCCTTTTTAAAAGGCATTTCTGCACACCCCCTGGACTGGTCTCTTTACAGCTGGTGGTGTGGGCTCGGCCTGTCTTAAGGCCCTGCCTGGAGGTAGCTCCCTGGGCTCAAGCCCCAGTGCAGAAAGACAAGTTGTGATTTGCACCAGTTTATTCCTGATTGACTTTGCAAATTAGAATATAAATTACACCTGTGCATGACTCTGCTGGTCTGCAGTAGGGGTCTGAACCCCCACCCATGGCTGTAACCTCACCATATGACCAACGTGCTCAATGCTGTCTTGCTGAGCCACTGCTGTTCCTGCCCCCCATCCAGCCCCAGCCACAGACCCTGCCCTGTTGTAATCAAACCCTGGTTATGGCCAGCTGCCTTAATGGTTCTCATGCAGAATGCTGCTCTGAGTGAGAACTGTGTACGGGGCTGCTCAGTGTTTCAGGCCTGAGGCTTGTTGCTACTGAATTTAAATTTCCTTTCATATTAGCGTTTGAGGCTGGATTAAAAATTGTAGTTTTTAAGCTGCTGTAAAAAGGTGGTTGGCCAGTTGCATGGGGTGTTAGCTTCCTGCAGCGCTGCATGTTCAGGGGGGGCGGGCTGTGTCCTGCAGGCAGGCAGGAGGGATGAGAGCCTGTCCCCATACTCGCAGTGCTCTGCCATACACCTGTGAGCAGGGGAATAAACACCTGGCTTGTGGGCACTGAGAAAGGGCCCACTGCTCGGGTATCAGCTGCTCTGGGAGTAGGCTAGTCAGCGATTCATTGCCTTTGGTGGTGGTGGTAAACCCCAAGCAGAAATGCCCCAGGAAAGCTCGGCGTGTTGCTCCCCAGCAGCAGGGAGCGGGTTTGGGTCTCCCCAGCGTAAGGAATGGGCAGAAAGTTCCCGGCAGGGTGAGTGAAGGATGGTGACAGCCTTGCCTACGATTGCACTTTTTAGCAGCTGCTGTTTGTCTGGCTTGTCCCATGTTAGCCCCAGCCCCACAGTGTCCCCAGGGAGCGCTGTGGGGTGCTGCACATGTTCAGGTGAACGTTACGCTGAAACCACCCCCCGCATCCCAACGCTTGCTCCTGTGGCCCCCGAGCGTCCCCTCCCAGAGCTGTTCAAGGGGGTTTCCACAACTTCCAGTTGCCTTTTCCGGTCTGAGCCTCCATATCCCACCCCAGGGGCTTTGCTTGGTTTCCTGTGCCCTTTGTTCTGTGTCCGAGGCATGTAAGGCAGGTCAGCTCTAGTGTGTGCACTCTCCCCGTCATTCAGCGAGCCCTGCTCTTTACCCTGGAAACCTCCCCTGCACCTAGTAGCTGTGAATTACCAAGGCCAGTTATTGTCCTGTCTGTCAGCCAATCCTTGTATGTAAATAAAGCGCTTTCTTGAGAGAGAGAGAGAGAGAGAGACACAGCGAGGGTTGTGATGATTACACTAGCTAGAACTGCATAAATGACAGGCCAAACCAGCTGACTACATTGTGCTGCTGAATGATGATTGCGATGGACATTCAGCTACTGTATTTATGGAATGACAAAATAAAAGGCCAGCCTGATCTGTCTGCAGGAGGGTTTCCTTGGCTGCTTTGGACCGAAGGCGTCGGGAGCCTGGGCTGCATTAATCCTGACGGGGGGATCCTGCACCATCATAGTGCCTCCCCATGCCCTTTGGGTCCCTGCCATGGCATTACTGGGGCCAATCATGTGGCTTCCCTCGTGCTCCAAGCTCAGCCTCGCGCTGCAGGTCCCCCGTTGGTTCCTGGGGCTGCCTGTTTCAAGCAAGACGTGATGTCCCCGGGGGGGAAGCAGCCATCACCCCTCTCAGCACTGAGGCTGCAGAAACCCCTGCTGCGAGCCTGGTGTGGCTCAGCGGCTGCAGGCCTTGCTCAAGCTCAACTCCCCCTGCGCTCAGTGGCTTTCCAGGCCATGGCAATACTTCAGCTCCTTCAGCCTGAAACCCAGGTGCTCAATGGTCTCAGAGCGGAGAGTAGGGGCCTATGTTTCTGCTAATGCGCGTTTCAGAAACCACGTGTGCTGAGCCTTTGGCGGAAGGGAATTTCAGCAGCTCTCAGCCCTGGGGAGGGAAAGCCAGAGCCTGTGCATGCATGTACCCCCTCCAAGGGCACTTGCTGTCTCCTGGAGGCAGAAACTCCATGGGCCATGCTGAAAGGGGGGGGTAGAACAGCGTCCTGCTCTTCCTGTACTGATCGTGTCAGACCTACCTCCTGCATTTTCAAGTGACTCACAGGAGCTAAAGGCCCCTCCCAAGCTGCCTACAGCCCTTCATTGGCCCATTTCCACTCTGCTGCAGAGGCTGCGGCTGTAACAATAAAAATAATTGGGAAACGTTTTTGTTGACTCCTTTTTTTAAAGGATTTATTAAAACACAGAAAACAAAAACAAATACACACAGTACAAAGTAAATGTGATTTGTGTTGGCTACAGACGCCAGAAACGCTCCTACAAAAGGTCAGCACGGTTCAGTTAGTATCACAAAATAACAAACCAAGAATCATGAAGGCAAAGTAGCTTTAAATGCTTCTGGTTTTCCCTAGTCTATTCCCCAAATCTTCACTGCCTTAGTCTGTATTTCACTGGAGCTTTTTCAACTTGCTCAGAATTGTTGCATAATCCCTTCTGTCGATGACCATGTAGGTGGGAGGAGTTAATACTGGCCCCACTGTCCAGGCATCAGTGCCTTTCCCTGTTGCAGTTACTGGTAGGAGTCTACTTTGTAGTAGAAAAAAAGCAGGTTAAAAAGCGTTGGGGGGAGGGGTCATTTTTAGCTAGTTTAACATAACCAGCAGTGAGAGCCTTTTAAAACGCTCATCTCCTTGTTGGGGGGTGGGGGGAAGAGGAGGTACGGAAATGGTTCAAACACAGCCTAGTGCCAAGTAATCTTACCCAAAACAAAACACTGCTACAGGAAATCTAGCCACTGAGGAGGGAACCATCACAAATGAACTTTGGACAGAAGAACACACTGGTAGCTCTGTAAACATCAGAGATGTGAACTATGAGAGTTGCTAATTTCCCTTCCATTAAAAGCCTTTGCGCTCATTAAAAATCTTCTTGCCACAAAATAAGGTGGCAGGCCACAGTGCATTGGCTTCCTCTGCACTAGCACGGGGCCTGCCTGCAAAGACAAGGCTATTGTTTGCCCCCATTCCATGCTTGCAACTCTTCAGTGTCCGCTCCCAGCGGCTGACTCTCAGGAGCGGACTGCCCAGCTATTACAGAATGCATTTCACCCCCCACAGGCATGCATCTCCACCAAAATGCAGCCACCTCTGGAGTGCATGCTGCATTATCCTTCCCTGGGAGACACACTGGTACCCCTAACCGTCCTGACTGAAGAAGCCCTGTTCCAGGTCAGCCAGGATCTGGGAGCGAGCACTGACAGCCCTTCTTTTTCCTGTGTCACATTGTGCTGGGGGCAGCCAACTTGCCCTGTGGAGGGAGGGGACGGGGTGAAAAGCTACTGCTGCAGAGTTAATCCTGGCCCTGCTGTTTTCAGGCACCGTGCTACTGCATACATGCAGCCACTGCAGTGCCGTTAGCAAGGGGCTAGCAGCGTGCAGGGAGACCTGGCCTATTAACAAACCTAGCCCTACCAGTGAGTAAGCCAGCCCCAGCCTTCTGCATTGCCTGTTCCAGAGGAGACAATCGACAGATGATTGCCATCCCAGAGCCTGGACGTCTTCCACTGTCCCAGCAATCGCTCACCAAGCCATACTGGAGTAGGGCTATTTCACTAGGAGGGTGGTGAAGCACTGGAATGGGTTCCCTAGGGAGGTGGTGGAATCTCCATCCTTAGAGGTTTTTAAGGCCCAGCTTGACAAAGTCCTGCCTGGGATGATTTAGTTGGGGCTGGTCCTGCTTTGAGCAGGGGTTGGACTAGATGACCTCCTGAGGTCTCTTCCAACCCTCATCTTCTACGATTCTGGGGGGGGCGAGTGCTTCCTCGCTCTGCTCCAGTTCAACCTCCAGAATCCAGTGAACCACCAAGCCCAAGGAGAAGGTTCTGGCTGGAGCAGAGCTAGATATGAAGTGATGAGGGAATTCAAGGTAGGTAGATGCAACGTTTGACCCAGGAGCACTTCCCTGACACGCCTCGCTCCTCTCCTGCCAATCAGCGTCTGTGCCAAGAAAGGGCTGGCAATGTCGGGTGCAGAGAGGAAGAGGGTCCGGCTGGGCATAGAGTCCCCCCCCCCCACACACACACACACACCAGTGCTTGCCAAGCAGCAGCTCTGCCAGCAAGCGGGGGGCTCCTCGGCCATGGGTGGCTTTCACCGCAGGCGGGTGCAGTGAAAGGCAGATTAGAGAGGGCAAAATGGCTCCCCAAAGGAGGAGGTACAGCACAGCTGCTATCTCGGGGCACTGGCCCGGGGGCAGGCAAGGCGGACGGGCTGCCTTTTATTCTCTGCCCCAGTAAGAAGGACGCCCCCAGCCCTGTGGCTCAGTAAATGGATACAGCAGACCCTAGGCCTCAGCTAACATAACAGTGCAGGGTCTTTGCTGTCAGCAACTCAGCTCTCACGCCAGACTGGGAGAAAGGTTTCTTGGGGTGTGCAGTGACCTGGCAGTCTGCAGGGCAGCGACCTGCTCCCCAAACCCAACACAGAAACAAACGCCTGCTTCTTACACCAACAATCCCCAGCTCCCCACGCTGCGTGTTACCTGTGAAGCCAGGTGCCAGCTGTCCACACTCTGGGCCAGGCAGGAAGGTCCTAGGTGACTGGCACATTCTCTGACAAGTGTCTATGGAGGTAACTACAGCACCTGCATCGTACATAGCTCACGTCATCCTAACCCACCCAAGGCTTTGACCCCCTGAATCCCACGCGGTCTGCTAGACCAGCTAGATCTGTGTATTAGCTCAGAAAACTGCCCTCAGTCAGCACAGGCTAGGCAATTCGTCTGTTCAGTACAGGCCAGGAGTCAGTGAGCAGTCCGGAAATATAAACACAGCTCATTTAACCCATTCCCTGCTGGTGAGACAGACATCTCCTGCAGCATGTGTGTTCTCCCTTGGTGCCTGCGGAGGGTTGGCAGGACAGCGGGCACATTCTCCCTCGCATACACGGGACATTTGGCAGCAGAACAGTGGCTTGACGTGTGCATGCATTTGCTCAAACACAAAACGGACATAAAAATAGAACGACCCTAGGAGGCTACAGAAAAGAATTAAGCCTGGCTCCTAACTGACACCTCAGGGTAACTGGACTAGAAACAGAGCTTCCAATACGGTCTCCCTTTACATGTCGATAAAACCAGAGACATAAATACTGTTACTAGATAATCCCTTCATAATTCAGCCAACATTGTCAAGACAAACTCTTCAAGTCTTCAATAAGAAAGTGCAAAAAATGTACAAGGAAATGAAATCCCCTTCTAAGAAGTTCTTGAAATGGGCTGGGGGACGGTTTGTTTTGAAGAACACTTTAAAATGTGAGCAAGGCAGCCCCTGGCCCCAACACCCACTGGGCTGAGAGTTAGTCTTCGATGCAGATGATGTCACCAAGCTTCCCCTTGCGTTCCAAGGCTGCACCATCTTTCAGTGACTCGGCTACTTTTTTATCGGGGTGGCTGGAGGGCGGCCCATTGGGTGTCGCTGCAAGAACAAAAGTGAATGCGTTACAGGCCACCTGGTTTCCATTCCCCTCCCTGTCGTGTGGGCTACCATGTGCACGGAAACGCAGTGCAAGGTGACGGCAAAGCGGGCGTGACTGACCCCAAGAAGCAGAGAAGGCAGGGCCACTGGCCAACCTAAAGGAAACGTTCTTAGAAGCAAGCACACCAGCTGCATTCCCCTAGCCCAGCACCCGCGTGCACACACGTCCGTGTTCAGTTCACAAATAAGCACCACCCGATAGCAAGGCAAATGCAACATTTACACAATAAGGTGCTTATGGCCCAGTGCACACGGCTCCGCTGCTCGCTCCAGCTCACTGCTGGGAATGCTTGAAGCGTGCTGGCTTGTCAAAACTGCTGTCAATGGCCCTGAGCGGGCAGCGGGCTGGGCCGAGGGGAGAGAGGCACGTGGTGAACTCTCAGCCTTCTCAAGCAGTAGCTGAAGAGTCAAAATGTAGCGCTCTATGAGCAGGAAGGAACACAATGGTGAAGGCTCTGAGGGAATGGCCCCCGGGGATGGCAATGGGCAAGACAACTGAGAATAACAAACTGCTCTCAGAAATAGCCTGATTTAGCACCTTGCAGAAGTGACAGCTGTCCCGGAGAGTCCTTTCCGTCCCTGGAGCAGCTTTGCTCCCTGCATGTGGCCTTAAATTGCAGCACGGGCAGTTTAGGTTGGACATTAGGCAAAACTTCCTAACTGGAAGTTAAGCACTGGAATAAGTTGTCTAGGGCGGTTGTGGAATCTCCATCATTGGAGATTTTTAAGCGCCGGTTAGACAGACACCTGTCAGGGACGGTCTAGATAATACTTAGTCCTGCCGGGAGTGCAGGGGACTGGACTAGATGACCTCTCGCGGTCCCTTCCAATCCTATGATTCTGTGTGTCACACACTGACCACAGGGGGCCATGCCGCCCACCACGGACTCAGCCACCCGTGGGGCAGAACACCCAGTGCTGTGCCAACGGGCAGAATGGGCGACAGGGGGGTCGCAAAGGAAGACGCTCTCAGTAGGCAGTTCTAACATGACATTATATGTCATAAGATGAGCCACTATTAAGAAACGTAACCTTAAGGGATCTAGTACTGTAGGGAACCATTTCTGGGGGGTGGATCTCATCAACTGGAAAGTGCCTCCAGGCGACGCTGGCAGCCCTTGGCTAGCGGAGGCATTGCTGATGGGTAATTTCCATGTCTCACCATCATGAACCAGACACCACGTGTTGGGTTTCATTCTATTTTCATATAAAGTCATGATGGCTGGCAGGGCTTGGTCACATGGCCAGGGAGCTCTGCCCTGCCACTGGATACTTTACAGGAACTCATTTCCTGGGTCTAGGAGGAAACTGCAAGACAAAGACTGAAAATCGCCTCAGCCACCTGTGAGGCATGTCCCATTGTGTCTGGAACAGGAGCTTTGTGCAGAGAAAAGGGGACACCCGGGACTAACTCCTGATTTGGACCAGGACTGGGCTCACGGTCAGGAATCAAGTAGGACAATGCCAGGCAGTCCTGGGTGCTGAAGAATGGCCTCACGGGTGAGACCCAGCAGCGCTCTGAGAGTGGGCTAGCCTCCCAGCACCTCTGGGTGTGTCTGCCCGGCAGACTCACACCAGCGCATAGCAGTGTAAACATGGCCGCTGGGGCGGCAGCTAGGTCTGAACTCAGGAGTGAGCCTGAGCTGACTGTCTGCACCGCTGGTTTACGGGCACTAGCTCAAGCAGGGCTAGCATGAGTCGGGCTCCCAGCTGCAGTGCAGACATTCCTCGGAGTGCTACCTCTAAAAACAAGGGGCTTCCAGCCCAGCCCAGCCCAGCAACCTTGGAGAGAATTCCACAGCGCGCTGCAAGGAGGAGGAGAGGAGAGGAAACCTACTCGAATGATCCTTGCAAAGCGGTGAATTATCCTGGCTAAAGACTGCTCGTTGACTGACGATTCCTATTGCCCTCTGACACGACCGCACCAAGAGACACGCCGAATCCTCTGGGGCAATAAGAGTTTTCCCAGAGCTTGGCTTATTTGCTGAAGACTCCTTTGCATTTCAGATGAGATCTAAGGTGAGTTCAGTGCCACCATGGTAAAAATACAAGGGAGAAATGGAAGGCAGAGCCTCCTGTGTTGCTGTGACTGGCGTGTTCGTTAATGCACTAACTGGTAGCTCAGACAAGACACAAACCAAGGGAGAGGGAGGAAAGTTTAAATGGACGCAAAGTCCTGGAAAAAGAGAAGGTTCTGGCTGCACGTCATGTCTCACTGACGGGCCCTCTGCACTGGGAGCTCACATCCTGGTGAGGAGCTTCCCCGATATTTGTGCAATGCCAACCTCATCAATACAGCACTGACTGAACTCAAGTCCAAGCAGGCACTGGGCTCAGAGTAAAACTTGGGATGGATTCTCTGGGAGCTGGCTCTTCTGTAGGCTTTCCAAAGCCCTGACCTGCAATTTGGAAGGGATGACACCAGACAGGTTCCATGCAAAAGTACACATGCTGTATCCACACCAGTATGTTCTCAAGGCAACATGGCTCATCAGCCTAGGAACTTCCTGTCTTCAGGAGCAGAAGGGAATGTGAGGTTTGATTTGAGGAACTGGCATGAGAACAGGGAAAACTATTCTGTGCGAAGAGAACAAAATGCAGAGATTCCAGAAATCAAAGATGTCCGTGAAGCCACTACACTGGGCATTACCTGCTAGCCATGACCTAGCATCGCAAGCATGAGCCTAACTACGCACATGAGAAGAACGGGACACTCCCCAGATATGTTACCAAAAAAACAACAACGCAACCAAACTGGTGGGTCTGAGATGAGTCCCCCCAAAACAGGGATGCCTAATGACAGGCCCACTAGCCCCACGACTCTGCAAACACTCTCCGTACCGACTCAGAATTGCGGGCAATGTTGATGTTCCTTATCCTTACAGAGCTGGAGCTAGGTGTTTCGTAGCGTGCCACGAGCGATAAGCCCTGTGCCCTAGGAGCTCTGGAGCCCCGGAGCCCCGGTCCTTCACATGTTACTTTGTGAATGGTGCGGACGGAAAGGCTGCTCCCCATCTGACCCCGTCAAACCAAAGAGCTTCACTAATCGCATGGGCACCGCTGCTCACTGGCATTAGTGGGTGCAAAGACATGGGAGGGTGGGTCAGAACCCAAGAGAGGCCCCATCATTTCACTCCAGCATCTCCGCAGCGACTGCACCAGTTACAGCTGCTCTCTGGGGACTACCCCCGGAGCTGACTGCCCGGAGGAATGACTTGCCCAGCAGCATGTGACTAGGGGCCGTGTGGAAGAGACAGCTGGGCTACCACCATTCAAGGAGACAACACTAACTATATGCTCCTGAACATTCTGGATTTATTAACTCATTCCACCTCGTGATTTGCTGGTACTTAGAGTTAATCACTTACTAGGCAGTGCCTGAGAGATGAGACAATACGATACGTTTAGCAGATAGTAATAAGCATGGCCTTACCTCAGGTGGGAATAAGAACTGCAGAGGAAAATCTTGGAAACGGCTAAATATCTATTGATAAGAGAGAAAACATCTTGCTTGCCCAGTGGTCTTTGGCTTTGCTTGTGGCCCAGTGAAATTTGCCACTTTAATTTCTGCAGTTAGAGAAAGAGGCTGCTAGAAATCTCAACCTACCGGTCACGTAAGGTCCCAGCGGCATCTGACTGTAGTTGACAATCCCACCTGGTCCAGGACCCCGGAAGTTTGGCCCAAAGTTGTTGTTGTAGAGCTGGGAGGACGCGAAGGAGCCCTGGAGAAACAGGAGAAATAACAGCTATGGTGCCCTCCAGACAACCAGCCCTGCTCTCCCTGCTCACCACGCACTGGCGTGACCGGGACACGTCCCAGGCTACCTGCTCAACTTCTACTCAGGCAAAATGCCCTGGGGGTCTCCAAAGAGAGCGTTGCTCAGACACCACCGTGCTGAGCGTGGGAGGCGGAGACGTTTGGCCTACGTAAGGAACGCAGGACACGGCACGCAGAAGTTAGAGATGGAAAAGGCCTGTTAGGTCAATGTATCCATCCTCTGCCGATTAACTCCCTAACACTGCACCATACAGAGACGCTTTGCAAGGGACTCTCCAGGCCGGTCACCAGACTGAACAACTCCACTAGCACAAGCCAGACAGCCCAAGCTGCTGGGGGCCTGTGCGGCCCAGGCCCCGTGTTTCTTTTCGGCTCTCTCTGACCTGCTGGACCGTGGGGTCCCCTCCTCGGTTAGTGAGACGACTCAGGATGCTCCGTTCAGACATCTGCAGGCGAGCAGCGACTGGTGGTATCCTGGACAGCATGGAGGGCAAGCGGGTCACATCTGCCTTCATGTCACTCAGCAGCTCCTCAAGCTGGTTCAGAACTGCAACACAGACACACGGATTACACCCAGTGTAGCTAGGAAACCTGCTCTCCCACGCTGAGCGGGGGGATCCTGGGGAGGGAGCAGAAGGGACAAACTGATTCCAGTGGGGTTACGTGGGGGGTGAAAACACGGTGACACGTCCTGGACACTGGAGGAGAGGAGACACGGGAGCTGTACTGGGAGAGCTGGCGGGGCTCAGAGATAGTTTGCCGAGAGGGACACGGATTTGAAGTTGAGTGGACGTACGGGGGCGTTGTTCTCCACACGTGCCGAATGCCTGCACCTCCTTCACCGCACACTTCTGTGCCGAAAGGAAGTGATTTTCACACACTTTGTGCCCTCCTAATTCCACCCCTGAGCCATCCCCCTCAATCCCAGCTAATGTCAGAATCCCGCAAGCTCTGGGCCCCTCTAGCCACACCGAAGCAGCCGTCACAACAGGCTGTGCACCTGCCTGAAGCCACGTGCCACAGCAATTCTGTAAACGGTGTGCCCGTCTAATTCCACACCCTGCCCCCTCCTAGCCCGAGGGAGAGCAGCTCTCTCATCAGCCACCTGCCTTCCTGCATGGCTCTCCAAGCACACGGCAGCAAACAGGTAATGCATATCTGGGGGCTGCTGCCAACCTCGTGTTCATGTTCTGCCCATACTTGGCTACTTGTATTTTTCTTGTGTCCTTTAAAATGGCAGAACCTTTCCAGCGTTTCCCCATCCACAGCTCAGATCCGTGTCCCCCATCGAAGTGTTGATTTGCTCCCATGGGATGTTACGGTAATGGCCCTTGGCTGGGATCTGAAGACTAGGACACTGAGGGTGCTGGACAGCGAGCTGCTGCTCGGAGCCCCCCAGAACAGCTGTTTTCTGTCTGGCAAACAAGCTATATTCTGCCCTCTCTACTCTCACATTTGCACACCAAATTCCGGCATGGACTGTGTCAGTCTCCGGCCAGGAGCCCTTATGTAGCACCAGGGAGCAGCACCTGCTCCGTCCTTTGCCCAAGCGCACTCCTCCCCAGTCTCCAGTGGTCCTAGCTCCAGCAGAATTGGCTGCAGTTTACGCAAGTGACTATTTCCTCACTGACAGCTCATGAATCAGCAGAGCTGCTAAGCTGTTATCACCTGGGGCAGACTGCATCAGGCTGGCAGGCTCCATGGCCCTGCCAAGGGATGGAGGGCTCTTACACTGACCCACCCTGTTAACAGGAGCTAAAGCCCTGCTCAGATCTGCTGGGTAAACGTAAGAACGTAAGAACGGCCAGACTGGGTCAGACCAAAGGTCCATCCAGCCCAGTACCCTGTCTACCGACAGTGGCCAATGCCAGGTGCTCCAGAGGGAGTGAACCTAACAGGTAATGATCAAGTGACCTCTCTCCTGCCATCCATCTCCACCCTCTGACACACAGGCTAGAAACACCATTCCTTACCCATCCTGGCTAATAGCCTTTAATGGACTTAACCTCCATGAAATTATCCAGTTCTCTCTTAAACCCTGTTACGGTCCTGCCTTCATAACCTCCTCAGGCAAGGAGTTCCATGCCTTGTTAACTCCACTAGAGTGCTGGGTGGGACCCTCCAGCTAGAGAGAACACGGGGCAGAGAAAGGGAGACCCTGTAGAAAGAGCCAGACTTGGGGAAGAGACGCATGTTCTGTGCCTGGGGGGTGGTTTGGAACAGGAAGGGAACATCACCTACTTGTACGATCACTTCTGGACTGCCTGGGCCAGTATCCCTGAACACTTTAACCCCATTCTGTAATGGTTCAGAGGAGTCCGACTGCTGGGGAGGTAAGATCCTGTCCTTGGGCAGTCAGGAAAATGAAGGGAGGATTTGGGGGTGGAAGCCCTGCAGAGTTTTTTGCCATTGCCGTAGAGCAAGGCTTCGCTTCAACCATGTACCTCCAGAGGAGAAGCAAATGTCCCCATGGGCACTGCTGCCAGGAGACATTGGTCCTCAAAGCCCCTGGACTGTAACAGCAACTTTGTCCCATTGACTCCTCTGTTAGAGTGCTATAAACGGATCCCACGCCCGTAAATCGACTTGGTATAATCAGTCTGTTACAATCGGCAGTGGGAGTCTGTCAAGGCTTGGTGCCAGGCACAGCACACAAAACCTGACACACGACTGGCTAGGTGGGGACCTGCTGGAGCCTCTGCTGGTCTCTTGGTTCCAAACTCAGTCTCCATCAGACTGACTCATCTAGGCCTGGGGCTGTTCATCTGTTAACTCTGGGCTTCAGTCCCGACCAGCCAGACATGGCACCGTGTCTCCTGAGCACCTGCACATTTGTAAGCAGGTGAAAAGCACGTTCCTGGTTACCCTGGCTCAAAATACCCTCAAGGGGATCAAAATACCCTCACGACACCCTGTGCTAGGCAAGATCTGCTCCAGATCAATGCACCAGATTCAAATGGGGCATTGGGTGCCGCTCTGACACCCCCAAGCCTGGGGCCGTTTAATAAGCCGTGCGAGTAAACACTTCTATACCTGCCAGTGGGAACGGCTGCAAAGCAACGCTCAGGTTCAGGATGGTGACCTCAACCACACACACAGTGTGGCCACTGGGATCTTCCGATCGGAGCCTCTGTGCCCGGGCGCCTCTGTGCGCACATCTGTATGGACACAGGCTGAGAACACCTCACTTCTCTGCTATCTCGGTCTCCCTAGGCTTAGGGGTGCCATGCAATCCCTGGGGTCGCTAGGGGGATACGCAACCAGGGCTCCCAAGACACCCCACATTAGGCAGGTGTTGCTGCGCGTCACAAGCGGGGCTCGTTTCAGGTCTAAGCCATGTCTTTTCTGCCCAGGGAAGACTGTCTCCCCTTGGCACCTTGGGAGCCATGAGAATCAACCCACTGCACACTTGCATTTCCCCTCTGCTCCTGCCCTGGAAGCAAATGGCCACGGTCCCTGTGGTCAGGAAAGGTCAGAGGGACGTGGCCAGCGCCAGGACACGGGAACATTGTGAGACAGAAACACCAGCCAGTCACTTCCTCCTGGTTGGATTTATTGTCTCTCTGCCCCATGCTGGTACCACTCCCCCTGCAAGTCAGCTGGGAACACCGCAGCCCCCGCTGGCTCTGGCTCAGCCCCAGAGAGCCCGTGCGGCTGGCGCTCCTCTCAGCCCCGGCTAGGGAGGGAGCAGGCTATGCAACAGCGACAAACCTTTGTGCAGGACAGCATTGGCAGGCTTGTTCCCAGCCAGGGACTCTTTGGAGAGATGCTGGTGGCTTTCGGCAAGGCACTCCACTTCAGCCAGACGGGCGTTCAGTGCCATGGCCGGGTGATTGGGGTCCTGGCTCATGTTGAGGTACGCGGCCCTTCGCAACTGCTCCTCTATCACCAGGGCCTGCTCCAGTAACTGAGACACATCCAGAGAAGAGAGAAGAGTCTGGGCCAGATCCTCGGCGGGGATAAATCGGTGCTGCGCTGGCTATGCGGATTTACTCCGGCCAACGTTCCAGCCCTCTGGCTGCCCCACTTGTCTGACACGGGGGCACCCACAGCCACTGAGGGGGAAGCAGACTTTCCCCTCCCCCTTAGGCTTTTCCATCTCACCAAAGTGGAGGCTGGGGGGCCAGTCTGTGGGGCCTAGCCAGTCCTCAGACACTGCTGTGGCTCAGACGGAGCGGACGGTTAGTGCCAGCTGCTCTGACTGGCGGCGTAGACACCTGGCCTAAGAATTAGGTGGAGAACCCTTGACTCACTGCGCAGAGGCCAGCCCTTGGCAAATGGATGGCAACAGCTTTAACTCACTCCCACTTGGAGTGCAGAGCAGGGATCTGGCAGGCAGCCCTGTTAGACACTGAGCAGCTGAGGACAGTTGATTTATACCCATAGAAGGTCACGCAAGGCCACAGCAGTTCCCTTTGCTGAGCTTAGTAAGAGCTGAGTGAGTGGGAACGATGCTCAGCTCCCAAAACAAGCCTAGGGGAACCCACTCCATGGGACCCTGATACCTGACAAGAGGCCCCTGGCCTAAGTAAGGAGCTAGGCAACAGTCTCATTGCAGTGGTTCATTGCCACTCCATGCAGGAGAAATAGCACGTAGGGTCAGGGGCTGTCTGCAGCCCATTCCCTATGAATCTGCGTCTGGTGCCATGGTCTCCCTGCCAGGCGCTTAACGCCCTTGCAGACCACTCCCTGGCTCTCTCCAGTGCATGAGACTGGAGCCCACTCCCCACCCTCCAGCACAGCTCCACTAGCCCTCCTCCAGAGGGGGGCACCTTCCCTCCAGGCTCACCTTGAACCGTCGGGCAAGGAACTTGTTCTTCATCTCGAGGTAGTTCCCCTTGTGTATCTCCGACTTGAATGGCTCATTCAGAATCACATAGCGCGGGTCGTTCTGGATGTCCTGCCAGCGGGCATAGCCATGGCTGGGTGCAGGGAGGGGTGTTAAGGGAAAAGGCCAGATTGCCAACTGCAATCTCATTGGTTAGCCTGGGGAGTTCGCTTAGTGACACTTTCAGCCTTTCAATAGCTCTCGTCATCTTCAAAGCACAGCACTAAGTAACCGGTGCAGCACTCCTACTGTGGTCCCCTGGTGACAGACTCAGGGTAGTTAAATGACGTGCCCAAGGCCAGAGAGGGAGCCGGTGTCAGAGTCAAGACCAACACTCAGGAGAGGAGTCTCTTCAGAGCAACATGAAGACAAAGATCTTGCTCATCCTGATCACCTCCCCATCACCCCGCGGCGGCCCAGCCTCTCTGGTCGCCTCCCTGTCAACCGCGGCAAGGGCTCTCACTACAAGTTCAAGGATACGTAACAATTCCCGCCAGCAACCAGTAGTCATGTCTCCGGTGCCAGATGTCGTAGATCTTGCCCGAGGAGACGGCAGCTCTCTCCTCGTTCTGCCACAACGTGTGCAACTCTGAGAAGGCAAAGCCGAGCCACGTTCAGCCAGCAGCACGAGAGCGTACCTGCTGCTAGAACGCAAGGCAGGACTAGCCAAGAGGACGTATTCCTGCCTGCGGCCACTGGCACTGTGTGTAACCTCTGGGCCTTTGACCCATTTCAGCCACTGGCTAATGTCATCCTCTACTGAAGTCAATTGACACCTTAGAACCAAATCACGGGTCTCACAAACACCCCATCTGCCACCTTCTTATTCTGAGCAGCTTTGCTCCCTTTAAGGAGGACAGATCACTGGCTATAGAAAGCTGCCAGCTCAGTAGGAATGACGGATATATTTTTCCTTTTAAATGAGCAAAGAGGAAAGATCCCTCCCCCAGAAAACTTATGATGCTAGAGCTAGACGACTACAGCTAAAAGCTGTGTTCCTCAGGCATGGCTACTAGGATTCTAAGCCCCGGCATGCAGCTGGTGGGCAATAGATTGAATGACATGTCTGATGGTGCTATCCCTAAGCATTGGGAATAGGCCATGAAGAGAAGAGGGAGGCTCTCTCTCAACCTGGAGAGTGGACTTCATTACCGAAGAAAGTCTCTAGTCCAGGGCCCACTTTGGAAAGGGACCTACACAGTATCCTCTAGAAGCCCAGGGGACTCCATGCTGGCATAAGGTTTGACATTAATGATTCCTTCAGTGCCACGGGATGCACGGACTATGGTTACAGTGGATGCTATGACAACTGTGACATCAAAAAAAAAGGAACTGACAGGAAGTCCCATGATGCAATCACTCCTCGGGACTGGAGCTCTTTTTAAGTATGCAGCTATGTAAAAGGTCAAACCATTTAGGCTCAAAATTTAGGGTGTATCTATTAAAAATGGGGAGGGTTGCAAATATGAATCTGAATGGACGTGCTGTCCTGAATTAAACCAGCGAATGCTTTCAGTGAAAAACATGTTTCAAACATTCCTTTGCAGCATCTGCAACCCCAGTATAACCAAGGTCACAAAGGCCAGGAAATGAAAGGGAGTATAAAGAGAATATGAAACTGACCAGTATAGCGTCTTAGGCCAGTGAAATACAAAAAGTTAACAGTGAGCATAACTGGAATAAAGCAGATTTGGTTCTTGTAGTGCTTCCTGTTTCAATATTCTGTGGAGTTTTATTAGTCACTCAGGTGTACTTTATAAAATATGAGCTGAGTATACAGTGCTGCAAATGCTGAGGTGAGAATGACTCACGTGATAAACAAGGCTGATGATTTTAGCAGCATCACAGACCAAAGCAGTAGAGAACTCAAGACAGCTCCCTGAGCTTAGCTTTCCCCAGCAGCCAGCGACTTCTAGCACAGAGCGAAGATCTGGCATTGTGTTCTGGGACGGGAATTCCATTAGTTTAAACCGCTGTCAGGCTCAAATCCTCTAACTGAATATGCAGAAAACCTGAGCAAATCTTGGGCAGCTTTCGCAGGCACACTTTAAAAGTGACTGGGATGCTCTGTGTCAGCCCCAAACCCTGTTACCTGTAAAGCCACCATCAGCAATGTTGAACATGAATCTGAAGCTCATATTTTTATCCTCCTTCTTCCCATCCTCCTCTTCCTCTTTTTCACCATTTTGCTGAGTCTCACTCTGCTCCTTCTCTTCCACCTTGGTATCCTCTGCTTACCAAAGACAGTAACATCAGATAAGCACAACTGACCCTGCCATGCTGAGCTGAATTGCTTATTTCTCATCATTGCCCCATTAACTGCAGCAGCTCTCTCCTCAAATCGTTCTCCAAAACACCCCCACGTGCATCTCACCAGCCGGCCTCCGGGCCTCCCAGCTAGCACAAGCAGCGCCCGCCAGCCAAGATGCCCGTGGAGCCAGGAACGGGTGAAGTGCCTCTGCACCCACCTCAGAAAGGAAATAAGGAGAAGTGTCAGGGAGTTCTCTTGCCCGTCCCTAGAGCTATTCTGAGCCACTGCTCCAACTGCTAGGAAACATGGTCTAGTGGTTGCAGCTGGGCACTAAGGGTGTGGCTGGCCCGGGCCAGCTGACTCGGGCTAAGGGGCCGTTTAATTGCAGTGCAGTTGGGCTTGGGCTGGAGCCCGGTTCTAGGGCCCTGCAAGGTGGAAGCGTCCCAGAGCTCAGACTGTAGCCCCAGCCCAGGGAGCCTGAGTCAGCTGACCTGGGCCAGCCACGGGTGTCTCACTGCAGTGTAGCAAGACCCTAAGTCCCTCCTGAGGCCCATTCTGGCTCTCGCACAGACTCTTTGCATGCTGCTGGGCCCCCGTCTCCACTTGTAAGTCCAAGCCACAGATGGAAAGTCGGCAAGAAGCAGCAGGGTACACAGCTCCCGGGTGCGCTGCCGCTTCTCACAAAGGTGTGGTGTACGAGCCGCAAACATGGTCCATAAATGCACCTGCACATCATAATTAAGCCCTTTGGGGCTGGATCTCATTTCTCGTTATAGGCGTGTACACAGTGATCACAGCCTGTGGGCACCACCACAACACAGACAGGAAATAGCAGGAGCTGCTTTTCTATTCCCCTTTCCCTGGCCAAACACGCTACAGACACATGGCACACGGCCCCTCACACACAAACACACGCACGTGCATGCACACTGCTCCGTAACACACACAATTTTGGATCAGTTCTCTGTTGCAGTTCAGGTCATGGGCATCTTACCTGGCTTGAACTCTTTGTCTTCCCCTTTACCTTGGCAGGCATTTAATTCTGACTTTTCCAATGGCTTTTCCTTTGCCTGAATTGCCTCATCTGCAGGAATTAAACAGGACCATTAACAGGCAGAATGCTGTTTAGAAATGACCACCAGTGTCTCTGGACTGATTAGCCGGTCCTATTTAAAGTCGCAAAGTATGTGTTTGCCTGCCCATTGCAGCTGGTAGACCCACGTCAGAAAATGCAGTTTCCTCAAAACTGAAACGTTTGGTGGTTTGATGGGGAAACCCCAATTTGCATCATAAATGGATGCAAAAATTATGTTAATAAAATTGCGAGAGCTTATTCTAGTGTTAGGCCCATCACTAGAGCTCTCCCAGCACTACCCATGCGTGAAGATACATGCTCCTAGGTCTTGTGCTGATCCCTCATTCAGGGGTGAATGTCACCCTAAGCCACACTGAAGTCCCATCTAGCAGGGCACAGGCCTCAGGAAGAGGGGTGCATGTCACCTGCAGAGAGATTAACCGCTCTGTTTTACAAGTTACATTACATACAAAAAGGTTCTTTAAAAACTATGGGGGCAAAGAGCATGTGATCATGTCATTACAGACTGTATCATAATGCATATTCACGAGGGGGCCCAATCAAGGTTGCACGGGCATTTCCTAACTTGCGCGTAATTGATTTTACAATCTTTACATTCTTTTAATACAGTGTTTTTATGGACTTTCCTAGGTACAAACGAATTGCGCGATAGGGCTGTTACAGTTTTACATAATGGAACGCTGGGAAGATTTGAACTCTGCACCTTCGGGCACTGAGGAGAGTAGCTTGAACTACAGGATGAGCTATGGAGCCTCGCTGGGGGAATACCGCATGCATGCGCACAGGGCCTTGAACAAGGAAGGAAACAGTCTCTCAAGCGGTGCGGTGACAGCTGGGGCTGCCCCAGACTTCGTGGATGCTCCGCATGCAGCAGGTGCCTCACCTCTCACCGGCAGCCGCTCGGGCGACAGCTCAGCCTTTGCGCTCTCTTCCTGTTTCTCGTCTCTCGGTTTCTCCTCGTTTCTGGAGCTCTCTTGGTTTTCTTCATTCTCGGCTTTCTCTGCACTTGCTGGACCCTTGACGTCAAGTGGGGACACCACATTAGCCACTCCAGCTCAAAGGGCTCAGGGTATGTTGCTGCAAAACTGCCCAGAAAGCCCCGACTATAGCGTGGTCCAGCAGCCATGCCCTGGCTCTGATTTACAGCGGACACCTCTCTGCCTAGTTTCACCTCCCCAGGAGTCCTGGGGTAATACTACCCGCGGGCTGTGTGGCTCCGTTACTAAAGTGCTTTAAACGTGATCAATGACGAAAGTCAGGAGCGTAACCCTTCCTTTGCAAAGCACCATGTTACCAGAACGTGCAACATAGCATAAGGGCTGAGCAGTACAATTCCCATCCTGGGTTTTCAGAACTGCAGGCTGATCTCTTCACTGTGCAGACAGACTTCCCCACTGGGTTCAGTTTGTATGTACATAAAGGGACAGATTAGGAAATAATTAGCTACTTGAATAGTACCATGAAGGTGTAACAATGCCCTTGGAGAGAGGACACTGTGGGAAACCAAGCTGTGCCATGGTGAGATTTGTACAATTTAGCCATTAGATTGGCTGCCATTTCCTACCTTGGCACATGGACTGATACAGATGGGGCCACTTTCTGGCCCAAAACTGGGGTGAAGGGCCAGGGCCAGGGCCAGCGGAGCTCCCTGGCCAGGATCAGGATTGGGGCCGGCAGGGTTCCTCAGGTTGGGGTTACAGTTAAGACCTGTAGCTCTCCCCAGTTTAGGGTCAGAGTTGAGACTGGTAAAGGTTCCAGGCCAGGGTTAAAGGTCAGGGCCAGCAAGACTCCCGTAGGGGCACAAGCGAGGGTCAGAGCTGGGGCCAGGCAGGGGGCGCTGTGTTCATTCACACAGGGGGCTCAGCCAACTGGGAGGGCGGCAAAGAGCATGCTCTGGAAGCCTTTAAATAATGTTGTAATGAGGCGGTGGGGGGGGCTGCACAGGGTGCCTGGAGCCGGTGGTTGTGAGAGCTGCAGGGAAATGCTCAGCACGAGCTTCAGGGCAAAGAGCCAGCTGACCTGAGCAGTGCTGCAGAGCCCCAGGGGCTGGGGAGAACTGTGCAGACACGGGGCACTGAGAGACTCTGGGCAGGGCAACGGGGCAGATGAGGCACTGGTCACTCTGGAGGCCATAAGATCAGTACTCAGGACACTCGAGGACGGGATGGCCCCAGAAACCTTTCTGTGTGCACAGCAGTAGCCCAGAGTGGAGAAGCCTGCAGAATGCCCCATGCTCTGGAGCACACAAAGGTTCCTGCGACAGCAGAATATGCTGCCCCTGCAGGGAGGCAGCACAGACAAGGGCTCGGAGGATGGCAGAAGCGAGAACCTCATCCCTGGGGCCAGCTAGGGAAGGGTCCTCGTAAACTCCCTCTGTCTGACCTACAAGCAGGTTCGGCCAGCTGGGCAGGGATTCCTGGGAAAGGCTTTATAAATACAACAGAGGAAGAGGTTGGGGGACACAGGGCCAAGGGAAGCAGAGAAAGAATTGCTGGTTCAGCCCAGCTTTGCTGTATCCTGGGGACACTGCGTGTGCCACTAATGGGGTGTGCGAGCTCCAAGAAAAGAAGGGGGAAAGGAGCTCCCTGCTACCTGGCTCTCAGCTGGCTTCTTGGGCTTTGGCTCCAATTGTTCCTTTTCCTCTTGGAGCCCCAACTGTATTTCTGTTTTGTCTGAAACAACAACAAAAAAGGACACCATGTGAACTGCGCTCAGTTGGGCCATTCGCGTGGTGCTATCGGGTAAGATTAACCCTTTGGGAGTCGAGCCCTATTGGAAAGTTCTGTTGTTCTAAAAACTTTCCAACTCGATTCCAAGGATTATGAGTGGGAAGCTTATTTTTAAGTCAAATGTTGCTGGTTATAGGCAATTTCATCCTTACCTTGGAAATAGATGCAGTTACTATGGAGCCTTTGTGTCTAACTGTTAACTTCCCATTGTTATTGAGAGGGGAAAGAACAGCTTGTAACTATGTTAGAGCTCAGCGAAAGTCCCAGTATATCCCAACTGGCCCTGCGGGCCCTGGTTTCCCAGGTAGACGCTCAGCGCCCGGAGGGCTTCTCCCGTCAGCGCAGGTAATCCACCTCCGCGAGAGGCAGGAGCTAGGTTGACAGAAGAATTCCTCTCTTGACATAGCACTGTCTGCACCAGGCGTTAGCTACTTCTCTCAAGGGTGTGTATTTTTCACCCCCCAAGAGATGTAGCTCTGCCGATGTAAGTTCCTAGTGTAGACCAGGCCAGAGCCTAACCCAAGAGGAGTTAACTGGAGTGTAGAAAACTCGAGCTCACTCGGCAGTGAAGACCGCCTTTGTGGGGCATTATGGGAGAAAAGCCAGATCGATGCTGTGATCTCAGTCACTGTGGCCAAGATTCTCAAAAGCGACTTGTGATTTTGGGTGCCCAGCTTCAAACACCCTGCAGGGCCCTGGTTTGCAGAGGGTGACAGCCTGCTTTCTGGGGTTCCCAGGCCCTTTTAAGGCCTCTCAAGGTGGGAGTCCGAACAACTCCAACCATTTTTGGAAACCTGGGCGCATCTTGCTTTCTCAGCAGTTTCTGGACCCAGGATTATGCTCTCCATAAAGCAGCTTGTCATCACATTTACCTGGCTGTGCCACTGGCCCAGTCTGCATGTGTGCTGGGCTGGCTGGGACAGGGGTGTTTGGATCAGAAGAGACAACCTCGCTGGATTTTTTCCCCTCCGGCCCCTCCAGGATCAGATCAGGGGTGCTGTACTTCCCATTGACATGTTCAAACTCCTGAACCTGACGCACAGACACAATAATGAACAACACACCTGGTTAGTTTGTAAAACACAGTCAGACAGCAGAGCTGCCAATCAGAGAAGCGTCCCCAGCATTTCATAACCTCACAGACTGCGTGGCCATCAGTGTCCAGGTGAGAACAAGCTCACAGTGGGCTTTGTTGCGTTTGCCATCCAGCAGCCAGATACTTGAGCAGATCTGACTGGCCAGCACAGTTGCCTATCCAGTGTCCAGACCAGCACGGCTGCTCTGCATTTTGCTGCATTCGAGGCTCGGGAATGAGAGGCAAAAGCTCTACCAGGTGAGCTAGCAGGGGGCCCTGCACATGCAGAAGCGGAGCTCAGGAGCCCCTCAAGCTCCCCCAAACTTTGCCTCTCACCTGCTGTTCCCTGCATTTACTCTGCAGGAGACCCCTCTGGAAAGAAAAGGTATTCAGTTACTAGCACAGACGTGGCTGTGCAAACAAGTGACCATGCTAATGCCTAATGATAGCCCGTGTGCATGCCTGGGGTGAGACAGATGTCGCCAGAAGCCTGAACACACACAGACTGATCAGAGTCCATGCCTCCACTTGAAAGCTTCTTGCTTTACCTTTACTTTTTCCCCTGACATATCTGACCTTGCTGTTCTCTTCCCCTTTCATGTCACAAGTTCTCTCCCACACACCCCATGCACTTCACGCTGCTCTAGGTTGTTTTCCCTACACTGAATTTTCCCACCCTTCCTGGACAGTTGAGCAGCCCGTGTCGCTAAAGACACCGCATGAACTGAGGTCTCTCACTTTGACATGTTCCCATTTCCCAGTTTGATGTCAGGATCAATTCCATTCTCAGCGTGATCTCTTCTCAGAATGAACTGTGGCTGCTCACCAGAGGGTATTTGAAGGTTGGGGGCAAGTAGTACAGATAAAATGAGAACCTTCACCCAAATCCAAACCAATTTTTTTTTAACCACGGGATGTGGAAAGTTCTCCATCACTTGGCATCTCCGAAGACCCAATTCAGCTAGATACTTAAGCACATGTCTAATTTTAAACACAAATAGTTCCACTGGCTTCAGCAGAACCACTCACATGCTTCAAGTTTGGCAGGTGATTCAATATCTAGCTGACTCAGGGCCTAACATCAAAATCAGGTATCTTGCTCAACGATATGCTCTGGATCAGCCATAGGTGTTGGGCTGGATGCAGGAATCAGTGGGGGTTGTTTTCTGGCCTGTGATATACAGGAGGTCAGACTGGGCGATCAGAGACCAAGGACCCATAGGGCTTGGCAGGCAGCTTGCGCTGTTATTTTAATAAGAGGGGGTGTTTCCATAGACCCCAGTGTACTCTACATTCAATTCTTAGAGGCGTATTCAGTGGATCACTGGCAAGAAGCCATTCAGCAGAGTCACCGACATTCAAAGGAGCCCAGAACATACCTGCAATGCCACAGTCCAAATTTTACTCACCCACCTTCTTCCTTACTAGTGACATAACTCCTATCCTCGTCAACACGTGCTGGCGCGAGAGCCCTTCTCGGGGAACGCCATCCGCAAAGGTTTCAGCACCATCTGCTCCAGGCTCACATAAATGTCTCATAAACAAAGAGACATAAGCCCTGGAAATGAAAGGAAGAGTTCAGTCTGACTGAGGTGCCCTGGACCCTTCTCCACTTGCCGAGTGCCTGCAGCTCTCACTCCCGACCGGAATCTCAGGGGGGAGAGAAGCCGTGTGTATTTATAGGGAACCGTTCGTTTTCTTCGCCTTTCATTTTCACACTATGGGTCAATGTCTCTCCGGGTGTGAAGTGTAATTATTTACTGGTAGCACGGTAGCAATAGTCCCCGTTGCGTGGAGCACTGTACACACACATAATAAGACAGTGTCCATCCTGACGAGCTTACAACCTAAATGCTGCAGTTGCCTAGGAAACCTGTCGAGATAGGCAAGGACTGATGGCCTCTCCAAGCCTGGGGTCCCCTCCACTGACACAGAGCCTGGGCAGTGACCATGCTGGGGGCTTTGCAGCTCTTTGGGGCAGAGCTCTGATTGGGAAGCCTTTTCTTCATTTCTCCAGAGCCGACTGCTGCTTTTAACTGACTCCCATGTCCTATGCGAGACCTTCTGCCTCTTGCGCTCACCAAGGGTCCAGCCTGCCGAGAGAATGACTCTGGGCGAAACTGCACTGAAGTTAATGGAGCTGGGCCCGTTTACGGGAGCTGTGGCCCGGTATATCCAAGGGTTCAGTTATAAAGCACTTATCGAGGGCACTTGCCAGGCTCCACACACCGGGCAATGCAAAGGCCCCCCTAGCGCAGCTGAGATTCTTTCGAGTGCTTACTTGTATTGCACACTCGAGAGAGTCCAGTGAAAATGGCAGAAAGCAACCAACCGGAGCCCAGGGCCCGGAGCCGGCTGTGTCCGTCCAGGGAGCCTTTACCTAAACTCCTTCTCGCTTTTCCCGCGAAGGTCTCGGACCAGCCAGTGTGAGTTGAACGCGTCCTGGGGCGGCATGCCCCACCGCATGATAGCGTTCAGGAAGGCCTTGCGCTGCCGGGCATTAAATCCGAGCACCTGCAGAGAGCACGGCCATTAACACAGCCCTCCAAGAGCACAGGGCATCTCTGAGCGTCACGTGCCCCGCAGCAGGGTTTAGCCAGAGCTAGTCTGAACAGATACGAATGGACGATACAAGTACGAATCAGGCCAAGCGCCCCCACGGAGTAAGGCTGGCCCTGGCTCTGGCTCTGCCCCCATGGCAGTCACGCTGATGACGGCTTACCTCAATGTTCCCCCCAACCCTTGCCAGCAGAGGGGGCAGAGGCTTGTCTCGGTCGCTCTTCAGTTGCCTCCGTGACTGTCTCCTGCCACCTAGAGGCAATCGACATACTCTGTAAAGAAGCCACGTTTGCTGAGGGAGAAAACCTGGCATGCCAGCCCTGGTACGGGTCTGCAGGCACAGCAGAACCATCCCTGCACTGCTCTGATGGGGATATTACCACAGGTTCCCCTCAGCATACACACCAGTCTCTGCAGGCTGGGACAGATGGTGCCTGGGACCCACCTGCAGGTCCCAGTAAGATCCACAGGGATGTGGCACGAGCTGCGGCCAGGGTAAGGCTGTGGGGAGAGGTCTGGAACCTTAAAGTGGCTACAGCAGAGTCCCGAGTCCTCTCAAAAAACAAGACAGAAGCAAACTCTGTGCACACCGTGGCCAGAGCAGGAACATCACGGCTTACCCAGAACTCAAGGCCCAGCAGTTGTGTGCATCAGGGTCCAGTTCTCTGTGCATCACACTGCAGTGCAGGACAAACCATCCTGCATTCCTTCCTGCAAAAGCCCTGGGTGCTAGAACACAATGGGCCTAGTCTGCTGTTTTACTGGGGACCTCTTGTGACCACACCTGGTACATCTCCCCCATGCACTGCAAGGACCCGCTGAAGTCAGCCTGTGGCATCACATCCTGCATTAAATCCTCTGTTACCAGTCACTAAGGAGGATTTGGAGGCTGTACATAACAGGCTCAGTGGGGAAAGCCCACAGAGATGCAGGATGTTTTTGTAGAACAGGTGTTGGTTCCCAGGCCTGATGCTGATGCTGACCCGCCTCCCACTGACTAAGACGCTGTGGTGTCTGTCACACAGCAATGCAGCAAAGGGAACGCTCTTGGTTTGGTCAGCGACGGACAGGCGACATCCTGCCCAGCACACCCATTCCACCTGCTGTCACGACGGCCCAGGGCTGGACCACATCTCCTAAGAGCCTCTCACCACAGCACAAGAACTAGACCATAACTGTGTCTGGGACCCGAGAGGGGTGTAAGGGAAAGAGCCAGGCACAAAGAGAGGCCTCCTGGAAACTCCAAACCAGACTCACCTTAGCGACCCATTGCCACTCATGCCATTAAAGGGCTGATCCTGGGCTCGGATCACAGCAAATGCTGCCACACAGGGAGCAGAGCTCGAGCAGCAGGACACTGGGCCGCTGGGGAGTGGGGCCGGAAGCACCGTGTATCTTTCTGGAGTGAGCCAATGCCTGGAGCAGCACTGATCAGCTCCAGGGAGAGATTCACGCCCAAAGGAGGCAGCGTCCTGGAGCCTTTGTGGGAAGCAGGGCGGTAAAGGGAAAATGGAGAAGACCCCTCGCAGAGGACAGACTCCTATGAGCCTCTCCATGCTGCTCTGCTCCGGGCCCCATCTCGTCCCAGGGACGTTCAGCATCCATGGCCCATTCAGTCCACAGCTGCTCTTCTGAGACCACCAGCAAGTGCAGCAATTGGTGCCTGGGGCTCTTGTGACACAGAGCTGGGATACTCCAGGCATTTCAGAAAGACCCGAAAGCCCGCAAATGGAGCCAGCCTGCAGCCACTCCTGACCAGGGCCAGAAGGGGAACCCCACTTCCCAAGTCCAAGCCCACCCGCCAACCAGCCTCCTCCAGCCGATACGTTTTTATCCAGTTTGCCTGTCTGTCATTCTCGAAGGGCCTGGCGGGGGTGAGGGCAGCTCAGGGAGGCATGCAAATCCCTGGCGCTGTCGAGAGGGAGGAATTTGAAGAGTAATAAATGCCACGACTCACTCTGACCTTCGGGTCTTTCTTCAAAGTCTTCGTCTTCGTCCTCGGAGCCGATGGAGTATTCGGACTGGTTATCGGAGAGCTCGTCCTGCCACTCTGCAGAGCACAGGGGGACAGAGGTCAAAGGAGCGGTCTTGTGCCCGCCAACCTCTCCACATGCCCTCAGGAGAGAGATCTGGGACTCGGCACAGGGAAGAGCTTTCCCAAGAGAGGCTTGGAGGGCCTGGTCCTTCGACTTGCCAAGGCCTTTCCCGCCTGCGCGGCGCACGGGGCAGAAGTCTGGCCCCTGCTGCCAGTGTGAGAAGCCCCCAGTGAGGGGGGACATTTCTCCCTGTCTGAGGCAACTCTTACCCCATCTGCCCCCCATCCCAACATGGAGGGATGGTGGGGACCAGCTGGAATACAGCTCTGCTCTGCCAAGTCACAGCTGATGGATGCATAGCCAGCTGGCATCAGTGAGACCAAAGCATGGCATCCCAGTCACCAGACTGATTCCACCCGCTGTCAAGACAGAGCAGAGCAGGACCATGACTCCAAAGAGTCCAGCGCTACAGGACGAGAACTAGACCCTAGCTGATGTCATGTCCTCTCAAGACCTAAACAACTCCTTGGCTGCTCTGACTTGTGTCGAGACCAGGACAACTTGGAGCTCAAGGAGCCATAACCTGCTCTCTGAGAACCCGCCAGCCTTGAGATCCTGCCCCGAATCTCTAAACTCTGATTGCAACACATTGCCTACCCCTTTGCTCAGCGTATAATACCTGTCCCCGACCATCTCACCCCGCCCCGTAACACAGCAGGGGAACATCTCAGACAGTGGTACTGTCGCCCCACAGGCAACAAGTGCAACTGCCAGCCTGGTCGTGCTCCTTTTTCTCAGTCAAAACCCAACAGCCCGACCCCCTTTCCAGCGGCAGCCGGAGGTCCCGTGCGGTTCCGAGGGCAGAAGCCGTACCTTGGTCCTCTTGCGAGGCATCATTGTAATTGACCTGTTTGCGGATCCTCTTCCCTTTGCCAAGGTTCCTGGCCAGATCTTCCTGCTGCTGCTCATAATGGTGCCTGAGCAGCTTCTCCCAGTAGTCGGGGTCCACGTTCTCCTCCTGTTTGATGATCTCTCGCTCAACCTCCTCCTGAAAGCACAGGCGAGCAAGAGGGTGGGGAGGTTAGGCACCTCAGCTCCATGCTAACCCTGCCCCGAACAGCCCCTGCCGCTCCACACAGGCTGCCCTTCCTGAAAGGCACTTCAAAGAGAGGGGGGCTGAGAGCAGAGTCGCATGCCGGGGACACCAGTGCTTCCAGCGCTGCCAGCCCCACAGGAAGGAGACTCCGCCTCTGTCCCTTCTTACCCAGAGTCAAACATTACATTAAATAAACTGTCCCGCTTCAGCGCTGCCATTTCTCCTACCCAGCAATGGCGACCTTGGTGCAAGGGTACAGCTGGGTGTCAGTGGCCTGGGGCACAGCTTCCTGCCAGCCATTCGTAGCCCCAAAACACCCCCTACAATCTCAGCAGTGTAACCCCGCTAATGTCAAGGGGGAAATCTGCTGGGACTTCCAGAAATAAGCAGCCAGGGTGGGCCTGAGAGAGATGAAGAAGAGCAAGTCCAGCGGCTCCCAGGGGAGTCAACAGTCGTGGTACGATATGTAAACAGCAGCGTGCCTGGTCCCAGACTCCCAGGGCTTTTGTCTGCCTGGCAGGACACCCCTCTGTAGAGCAAAAGAAATGAGGCTGGTGCCTTGGGGGCAGGTCATCCCCTCGACAGGGGAGATGGGCAATGGGGACAGGACACCCCACTCAGACGCCCTCTGTCAGGGGTTCATCTAGTGCCACCCTCACAGTCTCCTCAGGGCACCCCTGGGAGGCAGGGCAGGGCTGGGCTGTCACCCCACGTTACAGATGGGAACCGAGGCACTTGTGAAGGGTCAGATGGGGAATCTGGGACAGAGCACAGAACGCTGGAGTGGGTGCGCTGGAGTCAAGCTGTCCAGAGGCAGCTGTAAGGGCCAGGACAGGGGAATGCGGACACCCTCGTTCACCTGGCCACGGCTGTCTGCACACCCAGCAGAAGGCTTGGCTCTGTCTGAGGGCTGGTCTCAGGAGCTGAGTTCTCACTGGCAGGATAGTAGGGCCACGTGCATCCTCCTCCTCCAGCCCCAGAACATGGCAGCACTCCAGTTGCGCCAGACCCAAGCCTGTGGGTCCCGGCATCGCACAGCATCTGCCGACTGCATGCTGGGGCTCTCGGGGAGCTCTGCCCACTGAACTCAAACTATCCCACACACAGGGTTGGGGCGGGAGGGATTCCCAGCTTCTGCAGAATTATTTTCCCAACACACAAGAAAAGAGGAGGAGGAAACGCAAACAGGGGCAAGTACCCAAAAAGATTAAATTCAAGACATGATACTAATCACATTACCACACCGTCCTCTTCTCGCACAACATACTGGGCCACTTTAAAGGAGCTGAGATACTCGTTCATGTTCTGCAGCTCTGTGTCATCAGTCGCGTCCTGGTTCCGATCCAGAAGCTTCGAGATGGCAGCGTCGTCGTAGTGGATCACACTGCTGTCCTCCACGTCTTTATTGTCCCCTGAATAGCACAACCAAGGAGGAGTGAGAGCACACTCCCCAGAGCCGGGGACAGAGCGCTCCCCCGATGTTCCCCTCCCCAGAGCCAGATGCATCGGGAGGGGCACAAAGCATGAAGGAATTGCACAGAGTGGAGGAACAGGCAAGCAAGTGGCACGTAAACTTGCAAACAAGCTGCAAAAGCCTAAGTCAAGGATCTTCTGGCTGCAAACTTGCTGATCCCTTCCGTGTCCTCCACCCCGTCCCCCGACACAGCGCTCTGCCTAATCGCAGCAATCAATGCCATCAGGGGGCAGCTGTTCTCTTACGCTTTACGTACCTGGCGGGGTGCCTCCATGTTTCTTTTTCATGCTTGGAGTCACGGCGCCCCCTTTGGATGACGGTGCTTCGGGAAAGGGGGTCATAGGGTCAGGCATGGTGATCCGCTGGCCCTGCGACATCATGCCTGAAACAGAAAGGGCAGCAGGGATGTGGGTGGGCTGGGAAGTGGTGAGACAATACAGGCTGGTGAAGTGTAAAAACACCTTATACGCTTCTCATTCAGGACATTTTCCCTCCCTGTCTCACCTTCCACATCATCTTTGAAGAGCTCCTCGGTCCCAAACTTCAGAATGTCATCCAGCTCCTGCTTAGTCATGGAACCAGACTTAGAGCCCAGCCCTGGACGGACGACCAAATGGGTCAGCATCATCTTCCTTTTGGCCACTTGGGTGATGCGCTCCTCCACGGAGGCTCTCGTCACGAAGCGGTAGATCATCACCTTCTTGTTCTGTCCAATGCGGTGAGCTCTGCTGAATGCCTGTAGGGAACAACGCCCGGGGGAGTTACTGACAGGCCTAGTCTGACTAATCCTTGGTCTCAACAACCAGCTGGGCCCCTCCCTCCACGTGGGCAACGACACCAACAAGTCGCACACAGGAGCATGGCCTGGGGACGTCTCCCTGCCACAGGAACCCCAAATTCTCAACCTGACAGTGAGAATCTAGTCAGCCTGTGTTTCCAGTTCTTACGGGCGTTGCAGGCTGAACTGGGAGTGGTGAACAAAGGGCGAGCTGTAAAAGACTAAGCCGAGAACCTGCTAGCTGCAAACATGTTCTGCCCTTATCTTCCATCCCCCTCTCCTAAGAGGGGGGCAAATCTCTTTGGAGGGCTTGAAAAGCTTGTGTGTAACTGAAGGGCGATAGATCATTAGCACCATTTACCTGGAAATGGGATCTACCCCGCATTTCCCCTTCACTTTTCCATTTTTACTAGGGCATTTGCTTCGTGTCTGCCATAGGAAGGAAAGAGGCCAAAGCAATATCAGAGGGCACAGAAATCAGAAGGGTTTCAAAATGGAGTCATTCCTTCCTACATTTTCCAAGAAGCATCAGCAGCTCTTTAGAGAAAAAAACTATTGAAATATACATGGAGTGCCAGCAACCGTACAGGAAATGCAAACAGGGGATGCAGTGGAACATACTCACTCTATAGCATCAGAAAAAGAAAGCACAGCACACCTGGATGTCATTGTGGGGATTCCAATCAGAATCATAAATAATGACGGTGTCGGCCGTTGCAAGGTTTATGCCCAGACCCCCAGCTCGAGTAGAGAGAAGAAAACAGAACTGCTGAGCACCAGGAGCTGAGGAAGACAAACCCACAAGGGAGTGTAAGGTGAGACAAGGGGCTTTAGTTCAGCTGGAAATGCGGGACACTGTGTTTAGGTGATAAAACACAGGGAGCATTCAGTCTAAACAAACCCACCAAAAGAAAACTTGATGCTTAAACCAGGGCGGGGGGGGGGAGGGGTGGATTAACAAGTGTGTCAGTCACTAGAAATCAGTTACTGGGAAAAAATAAAACTCCAGCTCTCAGGGAAAGCTTGGTAATTCACTGAGACAGACGAGTCCTTCAGACTAGGCAGCACTGTCGTTACCACCCTGGGATTCAACCATGTGACTCGATTAAAAGCGTCTAAGTCAACATGTTACAAACATCCCTCATTATGCAGCACAGTACTGGACTTGCACATGTGAGCACGACAGGCAGGTCTGCAAAACCCACCCTGGCATAGCAGGTGTGTGCCCTCTGGGCACGCAGTTACCTGCTTCATGAGCAAAGGCAGGGTTTGGTGGACACAGACAGCCAGATTCTGAGCTCAGCTGCACAGTGTAAATCCAGGTGAGCGCACACTGGCATTTTGGCTGGTTCACCTGTTGCACTTTTGGAAAGTCTGGCCCAGAACATCTGTCAAGCTTTCAGCCATCTGACTATATTTAGCACACTAGCTCAATGAGAGTTAGCACAAGTGCGTGCAGGTGAGCTGGGAATCACGAGCTCAGAGTGTAGACACAGCCTTAGTAATTACCGACAGACTGAAAAACCACTGTGCTCTCAGACACCCCAGCTGCATCGGGCCCAGCGATGCTCACACTCAGTGAGTTCAGCGTTCAGCGTCAGTTGTGGAAACAAGTACGTGGATTCATGTTCTGGATTATTCGGATTCTTCATCTTGCGGGCAGTGCCTATTTCAGGTGTTAGGTACCCTTGGGAGACCAGGCTCCTTAAGGGGGGTACATCAAAACACGAGCTTTGGGAAAGTGCAGCTTGCACGTGTGCAGGGATGCAGCTAGCAACAAGCTGTGCACGGCCACCCGTATTCACCAGTTTTTTGCCCCCACTCACGAGATGCCAATACTCAGCCAATCAGACATCATGTTATACACTGGTCCCGTCACTCGTGCAGCTACACACACAGACAGCGCTGTGTTAGTCACGGGCCTGATACAGAACAAAAATCCCTGCAGCTCACCCTCAGACCCATTACCCCCATGACATTAAACCGGAGTCCTGGATTGCTCAGGACATATGCTGCCTGCACCATGAATGGAAAGGGAAGCTCTGATTTTTTGTGTTCTTTACAAATAATAGCAATAATGCGTACCATTAAACCTGTCAATGGCTTCTTGGCGCAGGCCTCCCGTGATCCCTCCATCTATCCGCTCATATTTATAACCCTCGTACTCCAGGAAATCCTCCAGCAAATCCAGCATTTTCGTCATCTAGAGAGAGAATCCCACCATAAGGTGCTGTGCACTGCCCCGGAGAGTGGGACTGGGGGGCTGCAAACGCAGCACCTGGGGGGAGATTTTGCCTGAAAACAAAAAGTGGGTTTGGCCAGTGGGAAATGACATCTCACCCCTGGAAATTTAGCTGCCGAAAGGAGCAGGCGTGCGGGTGCCTTTTGCAAACCTCATCGTGCGTGACGTGTTTGGAAGCCTGAGGCGCTGTTTGCATTACCCAGAGGGCTAATCTGGGCCTAAGTGCATAATTCCAAGGCCGCCACCCCCATTTCCAAATCATAGCCCCAGCATCTGACTGAATAGAAACAGTAGCAATATTATAAACAAGCTATTGTGATATTAATTGCCATTATAGGGCACCTTTTATAGGAGTTCTTAGCGTGCTTTGCAAACACTGACACTCAAAAATCCCTGGGCACATGAATTAGTATTATTATCTCTGTTTTACACATGGGTAAAATGATGTTAAGAAAGATTAAATGACTTGGCAAAGGCCACAGGCCAAGTCATTGGCAGAGCTGGGAATATAACCCACATGTCCTTACTCCCAAAGTCTGCTGCACCAACCCCTAGATACACTGTCACCATCTCTCTCATTCATCTCAATCGGTATCTAATAAAAATCCCCTAGTACAGAAATAGATGTAGGAAAACCATTCTGGTCCTTTATCTTCAACACAATTAACAGTTTGTGATCAAAATGACACCGCCGGGAAGTAAGGCTAGAACGCTCACCTGTCACTTGTGAAATAAAATAGCCTTTTGGAGGAGATGCCTTCCCCTCAGAATTCCCAGAGCTTTGGGCTTTGAGTCTTGAAGGCGAGGGGAAAGAAATTCTCTTCACTCACCTGGGAGAAGATCAGGACCCTGTGTCCCCCATCTCGCAGCTTCTTCAGCATCTTTTGCAGCAGCATCAGTTTCCCAGAAGATTTAACCAAAGAATTCCCATCGTAGGATCCATTTGGCAAAACCGGAGCCTCCTGAGAACATTGTAAGTGGATCCTTGGTTGGTGGAGGGAGTCTTTACTTTTGCCATTCTAGGGGCAAAGCCTGTCCACACTGAAGTCAACAGGAGGATTGCCACCAACTTCAGCAGGAGCAGGATTCAGCCCCTAGACTAGAGGATTATTATAAATGGTTGGTGGGGGGATGAGGTCAGAGACAGAGTCTGTTGGCTGTCCACTTGCTCCGCCTGCTGGACGTCTGCTGTGGTTTTGTAACATTACATTGCAAATTCAGAAGCCTGCCAAGCACTGAAATCCATAAGCCATGCTGGAGAAAGATCAATGAGAAATTCACTGGGTTTCAGAGAGAAGATGCCCACCTCAGACTGTTCAGGCCAGAAAAAATGACCTGCCTTTAAGATGATTTCGGTGTAACAACCTGGAGGATGCCTTGAACACGTGTATTGAAAAGAAAAGGTGCAGAAACATTGGCCCTCGGCAATGCACACATACATTACAGATCTGGAGCTTCTGAAGTGAGGTAACTTACCACAGCAGCCACAGGGAAGAGGTACGGGTGATTACAGCACTTCTTCAAATCCATCATGATATTGAGCAGCGACACCTGGTTCCCACCACCTTTGGAATTCAGGGCTTCAAAATTCCTCGTCAAGATGAACTTGTAGTACTTCCTGCATTAACAATGATGGGAAAGACATTACCACCGACATGGGATTGGCCGAAGAGGAATGAAGGGATCAAATTCATCCCATTGACTTCAATGGAGTTACACTGCTATGGATCACTTCATCGGATGATTTCCACTGAATGCACCCGATGAAGTGAGCTGTAGCTCACGAAAGCTTATGCTCAGATAAATTGGTTAGTCTCTAAGGCCTCCTGTTCTTTGTGCGAATACAGACTAACACGGCTGCTACTCTGAAACCTGCTATGGAGTTACACCCGGCAAAGAACTGGCCCAGACACTTAAAAAATGTGATCCTGTCTCTGCAGATCCTGGTCAGTCAAGTCCCTCCGCTGTCCTCTTGGATAACTCCGTCCTGGTCGGAGTCCCCGGATGAGGTGGGTGAAGTGTTAAGAAATATTCCTGCTGCTGTGAGCTGTGTGAAAAGAATTTGTGCTCCAGAGCAGGTATTTCCTGGAAGATAAATTAACCTTTCCTTGCTGCTCTTCTGCATGTCAGTGGAAAGCTGGGACCATCAGCAAAAACCAGATGGGTTCTACCCAGGCATGCAAGACCAGACTTGTGCCCTGCTGCTCGAGCCTTGTGTGACTCCACATCTGCACTGGTGTAACTGAAAGCAGACTCTGGCCCACAGGGCTGACCGCATTCAGCAGTAGAGCAAGTGGATTTTACCTCGGGGAGCTCCGATTATTCAGGAGAACACCGGGGTGCATTCTAGCGAGACAGAGCTGTAGCATTCAGCATACTCCACACAGCTACACCTCTCAGGCTTCCAATGGCTCCGAGAATTTTAATGATTTTTCAGATCCATCATTTCCTCCCTGTGCCAGACGCTGCACAGGGCAAGGAGCCAGGCTTCCGTTTACCAAACCCTCTGTCAGAGGACCCGGCCCCACCCCGCTGCCGTGACAGGAAGGGGCCAGGGCCGCTAACGCTTATCAAGGCTGAATGCTTCAGTGCAGATTGGGGCGTGTGGCTCTCCCCTAACAATCCATTTGCATGCCCTCCGCGTAGGCTGCAGCCTCGCTCCACCGAGCACAAATGCGACGGTGTGAAAGAAGCCAGCGGCGCTGTGCCCTCGCGCTTCCGGAAGAATCGTCTGTAGCCCTTGGTGGTTAGTCACTAGCACTTACTTCTGCATCTGGCTGAGCTCCACCCTCACTATCAGCTCTGTTTTTGCAGGCATGTTCTTGAACACGTCGGCCTTCAGCCGCCGGAGCATATGGGGACCCAACAGGTCATGGAGCTTTTTAATCTGGTCCTCCTTGGAGATGTCAGCAAACTCTTCCAGGAACCCTTCCAGGTTGCTGTAAAAATAACCCATAATGAGGTAGCACACGGCAGGTCATGGGGGACCCATAACCCAAGTGATTCATACCCTCAGGGTTTGAATGAGGAAAGCTCGAAGGGAATACAACGGAAGGACGCTCCCACCCTGTGAACATAGTTCCAGTTCTACAGAGGAATGGTACAGGCCACGTAGAGCGGATTTACTGCTTCTGCTCTGACATTAGACGTTAGCCAAGTTCCAAAGCCACCAATGCCTCCTTCTCGGGAGGAAGAGGATGGATCTAAGAATCTTTCACCCACAAGTCCAGTGACTGCTGGGGAAGGCCATAAGCCCAGCTGGGAGTATCCCAGAACTATATACATGTAATGTGTATAACACGAATATTTATTTATTCTAGCACAGCGCTGCGACGGCCTCCTTCTGCCATCTATCCGTCGACCTGCCTGCGCCTCTCTGTGACACTCACCCAGCCAGCGAAGGGAAATAGTGCAACTTACTTAAACCTCTCCGGGGTCAGGAAATTGAGCAGGTGAAAGAGCTCCTCTAAGTTGTTCTGGAGCGGCGTTCCGGTCAGCAGCAGCTTGTAGTCAATCTTGTAGCTATTTAATACCCTAAAGAACTTGGACAAGAAGCCGAGTCAGGTGGGAGCAGTTCGGTTTGAGGGGGTGGAACCTGCTCAGTTGGTCATTTTAGAGCTTTTGGTTCTGCTAATCCAAAGTGCAGCCGAAGCGTGGAGTAGCCTCCACTCCCTCCTCGTAGCCACCCCAGCCACCAGACCCCGCCATTCAGGCTAGCCCAGGGAATCCTCTCTCTCCCTAGGGAGACCGGGAGGAGTTCCTCTAACCAAGGTGACACTGGCTACCCTGCTGAAATGATTATCCTGCCAGCGTGACTTGACTAAATCTCACGTGGTTTGAAACTGAATCTGCCCTAGACTTCTTGCCACTGGAAGAAGTCTCTCAATTTCCCTCAGTCTTTCCATTTCCAAGCCAGGAGAGCTTGGGACCGCTGAGGATGCATCTCATTTAGCCCAAGGGGATGGAGGGAAGGAGAGGGAGAGTCTTCTTTGGCTCTCAGGTGAGCCCTCCCAGCTGGCCTGGCAGCAGTGCTGACCAGCTCTGTGGGGCATGGGGGGCTGTCACCTCAAGGCTTCTCAACCAGGTGGGTAAGCCAGCCCATTGTGGGCCATGGAGGGGATAGAGAGACAAGCGGGCATGAATCCTGCAGAGCCAGCTCCCGCCCCGACCCTGGCAAGGTGTGGCTGCTGCTGGACTCGGCAATCTATCATCATCATCATCATCGTTTCTAAGCGCTTCAGATTTGTCCACATCAAAGTGAAGCCGTGTAGCGCCCTGTGGCATCTGAACGCCAACCGCCAGTTTTCTTTTTCCTGTGTTAAAGAAATCCACTTTGCCTCTTTTCTGTGTTTTTACCTCCGTTTGGAATTTCTGACTGTCACCAAACAGACTCCCCTGCTCCAACAGTGCGTCATCCCAGGCAGGCAAAGGGCCCTGTCCTCCTCCCATCTCTTCCCCCAGCTCCCATCAGTGACAGCCCGAAGGCTCCCCTGAACTCCAGCCGCGCCCCAAACATACCAGTCACATCTGCTGACTTGAACTGACCCAGGCAAAGCCTCCCACCTGCTCTCCCTGCTAAGCCAACGTGGCTCCTGAGGAGCAAGCCGGCGTCAGGACCACCGCAGCTGTGTACAACAGCAGGACTTCTAAGGGCAGCGATGATGCAAGAGGCAGGAATAATCCAGATGAGATTCAAACCCCAAATTGAGTTTGGGGGTCGGGTGGGGGACGTGCGGGAAATGATCTTTTGATGTGCAACCTGAGCAAATCTGTTCTGGACCCACAGAGAGGGAAACAAAGGGGAGTGCAGCCATGACGGGGCAGTGCAGTTGGAACGGTAAATGCACGTCCAAGTAACATTCTTCCCAGCTGCCGTGAAAGATACCTACTTTGGATTGGTTGTTCTTCAGCCTGTGAGCTTCATCCACCACCAGACACGCCCACTCTATAGAGCCTAAAACAGCCTGATCAATAGTGATCAGCTCATAGGATGTGAGCAGGACATGGAATTTAATCTGAGCTTCTTTCTAGATGAAATAAAGAGAGAGAACATCACAGATTAAAGAGACCAAGGGGACATGGTTGCCACTGGCCCTCAGTGCTTCTGCATACTACACACATCCCAACACGTGAAGAAAAATGTGGACTCATTTGCACCGCACTACAAAATGCCAGCAAGCCCAGTCTAGGAATGAATCAAGCCAGCAGAAAATCTATATCCATCTGAGCATTAAAATGAATTAGGGAGCTGTATAAACCAAACAGAGAAGGGTCCTGCAGAAATCTGTAAAGCCCATCATAAATCTGCTGCATTTATAAACAGGGTCAGCTTCTCTCTTTGGAGAACAGTTGATTCAGCTTCTTAGGAATCTCACCCTCTGTGGGTCACGCTGTGCTCTCATTTGCACTGGTATAAATCCCAAGTAAATCCATTGGCTTCAGGAGAGTTACTCTGGATTTAAACTAGCACAAATGAGTGCAAACCTTTTCCATCCCTCCCTCTCTCCCTCCCCTCCATGCCAGAATCCTGTTCTCTGGTGTTCTGGTTCACAGGCCAGGCCACATGAAACAGAAACTACAGTTCTTTATCTTACAGAGAATGCTAAACTGAGAAAATCATATGGGGAAGGAGCCTGCATCCTGGCAAAAAGAATACAATTCACCAGACAGCCCCAGGACAGCAAATTCCCTGCTGCAGTGGTAACATATACGGGTGGAACACACATCCCAGGGACAAAGAACCTGCCTCAAACCCATTAGACAGAATGAGAGCGGAGATAATGGGAACCCAGATGAGCACGAGGAGTCAGAGAAGTCAGAGTAAATATGCTCTCGGTCTGCAATTCCCAAGACAGCCCCAAAGAGAGAGACAGATGCCAGGAGAGGCTCATTAAGAGAGAGTTTCTTTTTCCATTTGTTAGCAGGCTTACAGAGGAGAATTTCTCTACATACCAAATGAGTAAGACAGTTAATCTTTCCTAGCACCTTTCACCCTCTCCCCTGCCAATAGCAAAAATTTGCTTTGCCTCAGGCAGGGTCAGGGCTGTAGCTAGCCAGGACTTACTTTCATTCGGAAAACCTTCTTCCCGCTCCGGATGGCATTGTCTTCAAAGGAGAACTCATTTTCTCGGATCACAGCCCGGCTTTCCTTATCCCCTGTGTAGGTCACCACATAGAAGTCAGGTGCCCACATCTCAAATTCTCGCTCCCAGTTGATAATAGTGGACAGAGGGGCACTAACCAGATACGGCCCTTTCGAGTGGCCCTGTTCAGAAAGGCAAATTCCAGGTGAGTGTGCTGCACCCCAGGCTCCCATGGGATGCCAAGGAAGTAAGGACTGTCTCCATGGGTGCCAAAACACTCACCTCTTTGTACAGGGAGTACAGGAACACAATGGTCTGCACCGTCTTCCCAAGCCCCATCTCATCAGCAAGGATCGTATCGGTTCCCTGGGCCCAGGAAAACCTCAGCCAGTTCAGTCCCTCTAGCTGGTAAGGATGTAAGGTGCCTCCTGTTGCATCAATATACCATGGCTGCTTGTCAAATTTAACTGTAGGCTGTAGGGGAAAGAGGTGGAATGCAAAGTCTGCAGAGCCTGTTCCTCCCCTCACCTTCCTTCTCTCTATAGCCCGCTAGGTTCCTGCTCAAGGCTTTAACACAGACAGACCCAAATCAAGATTTAAATGCAGTTCGTACAGTTCCAAAATGCAGTCCTCCTCCTCAGTACAGAGCTGCAGCCTGCAGAGACTACAGATTCCAGCATGCAGTGGTCTGTTTGTGTCCAACACCTGAGAAATTCCCTTTCCTCTTGATAATTCTGCTTAAGGAATGAACAGAGAAAACGTGTGGGGCGTGGCCATTCAGATGAAGGTGCTGCACTGTACAATCGAGGGCAGCTGAAAATGGTTCCCTTTGACGTAAATGAGATGTAGCGTTAGCCCCCCAGAAAGGAAGACCCAGGGCTGGACAAGGTCTGGGCTTTAACACAAAGAAATACTGAAACAAACTACGTTTCTTAGGAGCTCATGCAAGAATGGGGAACAAGTGAGATTCTCAGCTGGATCGCATATCCCTGCTCTGCTGCCTTCACACCCCTCACTTACATCAACAATTGGAGTTTCTGGAGGTTTTTCTAGTTTTTCTTCCTTCAGTTTTCTCCCTTTCTTGTTCAGCCTCTTTGGCGGTTGGATATCATCCCCCAACATCAACTCCCTGGAAGAGACCATTAAACAGAGGGCATGGATCAGACAAGGGGAGCTGGATAGGCAGAAGGATATTCCCCTCATGGCCTCCACACAATGGATTAGAATTCCCAGCCAATCTCCATTCGTTCTTTCCCCACAGAAACTTTTCCGCCCCAGTTCCAGCTGAACCTCCCTGATCATTAATGAGTAGGTTATAATAAGCCAGGCAATTTCACCCAAAATTCATGTAATAATTTACTCAAAATAAAAACACTCCAATATTTTTTCCTAAAAACTAGACAGAGCCAGGCACAATGGATTGTCTTGGAAATGCAATGAGTCAAATTAATACTACTGATAAAAATGAATTACTTCTGCACACAGACAGGCGGATACTCGAGATGCTATAGATAGGCTGTAAACAGATATGTGGACTAGAGATTTTGGGTGCCCAACTTGAGACACCTTAAAAGGGCCTGATTTTCAGAAAGTGCAGCTCACCCACGCAATGAAAATCCGTTCCCTTAAGGTGGTTCCAGTTCTTCACTCAAAATATGGGGCACCAAAATTCACCGGTCACTTTAGATGCTGTAGATCTGCATGACTCTATGCTGCCGGCGCAGACTACAGACCACACTGCCTCCCTGGCTCATACCTGTGATTCCAGTAAATCTGTTTCAGGTTTTCGTAGTACGGGATGTCTATGTCGTCAATCTCCCAGGTACACTGGTCGTAGGGTAAATCTTTCCACTTGATCAGGTAGTGGACATCTCCCTTTTTATCAAAGCTAGAATTCATAATATAGAAAAGCACATCACTGAAATGACCTAATGTAACAAACATTGTCTGAGTTGGTGTTTCCCTTGTACTGCCGTGTATTAGCAATGGAAACATCTCCCTGATGAGACAGCTTCCTCTCTCTCAAACACAACCCCCCAGGCCTTCAGAGCCTAGAAGTCTCAGCAGGGTTTAATTAAAGTCCCTTGAAACAGAGAACCCTGCATCCAACAGAACATGCTTAGGTCTCCTGTCAGCTAGCCCCCAGGAGATTCACATGGAGCCAGTGGAGGAAAGAACACCAGAGATGGGCTCTCATACACATGCCCAAAACCATGAACAAAACCACCAAATGTCCAGATATAAATACACAGCAATGGGGGGCCTGCCCTTCCAAAGGCAATGAATTCAGGAACCTTCCCAGGGGGAGTACCAAGACTTGTGTAGGCAGGTTTCAATCCTAAGCAAACAGCTTGCTATGACCCTGTTTTCAAGGAACCGAATACTCCATCCTCTGTTTGCACCTTCAGATTATGAAGTCGATGCAGAGCTAAAACACCACCAAGAAGGAATCAATAGTTTCAGGTGGAATGGTCCATTAATCTGCTGGGTATGTTTAATCAAGCACAGAAGCTAAATGCCACACGATTTCTTTGTCTCTGTGCTGCCTGTAATTTAGGGTTGGGGACAATAATTTATGTAACACCACCGCTTTTAGCACTGTGGCGGCAGGGTATGTGCGCAGCGTGCAGCAGGTATCCAGGGCTGCTCAGAGGCCAGGTAACATAGGGCTGTTAGCGAAAGAGCAAGAAAATTAGCTGAATGTTTTTAAACTTAAAAGAATGAAAGTCAGAAAGAGCAGGGCAGGATCCTACATTTCAGCCTACGCACAGGAACGTAGGCACTCATCCAGTATCCTATCTCCAACAGTGCCGGATGTTTCAAAGGAAGGTGCAGGCACTTATGGAATAATCTGTCCCCAAGGAAAGTCCTTTCCTAAAACCCATTAATTAGAAGTTGGCTTATGCCCTGAAAAATGAGTTTATATCCCTTCCAAAATTCTTGGGGTTTGTTAATTTTTTCGTTACTATTGTTGTTCTGGATATTCTCACATTTATATAAATGTCTCTTCCAAATCCTGCTGTGCTCTTAGCCTCAATGGTATCTTGTTGCAGTGAGTTCCACTGGTTATTTTTGCATTATGTGAAGAGGTATTTCCTTTTACTAGTTTTAAAAGTTTATTGAATGTCCCCCGGTTCTTGTAGTATGAGACACTGTGAACAAAAGTTCCCAAAAGACATTCTCTAGTCCAGTCATTCGTTTGAAAAGCTTATCATGTCTCCTTATACATTTCTCATACCAATTACACTGAAAAACTAATAAAAACCTTTCAGAATCCGGTTATTTATAAAAGGCAAGACCTGCCTTATTTACATAGAACGTAACTCTGGCACAGGGTTTTGCCACACAACTTGACTCAGTCCTCGTCAAACAGCTTTGAAGAGAAGTGTGTAATTCCTAATTTAGAAGTTCTACAAAGCGATCCTTGCCTTTAGACTTTAAAAAAAAAAAAAAAAAAAAAGGTATCAACCCAGAAGATTATCTAATACATAGGAAATGTCTTCAGCACAAATAAACTCAGATATCATGGCTAAATAATTGAAATTCATTTAAATTCTTCTCTGCATGCACAGTCCCATCAGCCTCCAAGGGAGTTATGTGAGCATTAGCTACCTCTCAGTATACATGTGATTCCCAAACTCCTGCAAATGTCTTTGATGTGATTTGAGTGAGGGTGGAATGCATGATTCCCCACAGAAATGAACAGCATACACAGAAATGGACTGGGTTTGAGAGTAGTTTGTGTGAGTAATAGCAGCTGCATGGTGCGATCAACAGGAGAAACACTGATCACCCAGTCGCAGAAGAAATTTATGAATTTTTCAGTAAAATATTAGTTGGCATCAGGGACCCAAATAATGTATTTGGGGAAAGTTTAATAACGCCAAGATCCGCCTTTTGGAAGAATTTACTATCTATATTTTTAACGTGCAATTTAATAGAAATGGAAATAATGCAACAATTCATGTTTGGCCTCACTTTCAGCTCTGTAATGAGCTTCCAAGGTGATGGATAGCCTTGGAATAAGTTTACAGCTTTACAGTCTTTAGGAGGAGCAAATTAGGGTTGCAAAAGCAAAGCAGTAGGTAAATCCCCATCCCCTGGCCAGCAAAAAGTTTGGGCTTGGGGAGACATCGCAGGACAAATTCTGCTGTCACTTACAGGGTCTGGAAATTCAGATTAATTCCATTAGAATTGGTGGAATTGTTCTGGGTTAACACTGGTGACACACATGAGCAGCACCTGTCCTACCAAGACACCAGGCTGTCTATGTTCTGATATTACAATGCTGTGCCACGAATGGCCACATGGCACTAGCCTGGATGATCCCTGTGCTCTGGGCTGCCTAAATTCAAGGCCAGATTCAATAAAGTCAGTGGGTAGAATCCAAACTTGAAATGCTGTGTGTGTGTAACTTTGCAAACATCTCCCTGATCACTCTGCGGTATGTTATCTTCTTAGCACAAGCAGATCTAACCGTTGCTTAATTAATATTGCCGACAAACTAGGCTTGACATAGAAATACTGCTTGCTACAGAAATTCTAGTTCCCCCCCAAAAAAACCTAGCTAATCACCATAAATCACCACCCCAAAAACCTCTGCAGGATTGGGAATATCACACAGTCCATACTAATGACTTGGAGAGGAACCACTCCCTACACCTTCATTTGCAAAAGGAGGCAAGGTGAATGCATCAGGTTTCACTCAGAATTCCTTCTTCATGGATCTTCACGAGGCCCTACGGGCAATCTTTGCCCCTTGATGTTATAGGAGTTCTAGCAGTCTGTACACCCACCCCTCTCTCCTGCACAACTCCCCACCTGTGGTTCAGGATTCGGTGAATCATCATCCACTCAGGTTTGATGCCGTAGCGATAGTACTTCTCCTCCATCTTGACGTACTGCGGGTCTTTGTTCTTCCGCTTCTCGCTTTTGCCATCTTCATCCCCAGAGCCATAGTCAAAGGCCGGGGGTTCATCCATGTCGTTCTTTCTTTGGTAGTTGCGATACATCACGGTGTGGTACAGCTCCAGCTGCGCCCGGAGAGAGCAACAAATGGGGGAGCTGGTTATGTTTCAACACCCCCACACGCGTGTCGAAAAGGGCCACAGGTGTGCCCGGCCCAGCCACGGGCAGCATCGCACGCAGTCCCCCCCTCACCAGCCTCGCTGCGTCTTACCTGCAGCTCCTTGACCCAGGAGCAATGCCAGTAGGAGAGTCCTGCCCACTTCACAAAGAACTCCCGCTCCGGGATCCCCTCCAGGGGCTTTGATGGAGGGACGGACAGCTCCAGCTCAGGCGGAGGGAGCCCAGACAGGAAGGGGGCAGGAGGCTCTCGCCAGACCCAGTGCAGGATGCGTTGGACTTTGCCTTTTAAGGGAGGGCACTGAGAATAAAAGGAGGCAAAAATAACACATACACTCGAGGTTTAAAATGGGCCCCGTCAGCCCCACACAGCAGTTCCCCCTTCCACTTCCCCGGCAGCACAGCCCTGAAACACCAGGGAAAGCCCAACCCATCACTACCAAGCCCCGGCTTCGCAATGGCTGGACACCAGACCTGGCCTGGATTGAGCACTAGACCTGCACTGGCAGTGGAGTCTGCTGGAGGGCAAAGAGGTCTGCAGTGGGGAAATGTAGCACAGATCCTGCCTGGGCCAAGCCATGAGGGGAGCTGTTACTCTAAGCAGTTACATCGCGCAGTGGTGCAGAATCCCCCTAGGAGTAAGCTGTCCAGAGAAGGAGGGCATTGCCAGGGCAGAGAGGGAGGTGCACTAATCCAGAGGCCCCCTGAGCAGTCTCCACTGGCACCTGGTCCATAACTGGAAACTGCTTCCACTGTGGGAAATCCCCAGGCAGGATGGGCAGCAGCGACTGGCAGTAAATTAGGCCCAGACTCAAGGGAACCCAGGGTCATGCAACAAATTGGGCAGTTTTTAACAACCCCAGAGTCAGGCCAGTTCTAGGCCTGGCCTGCCACCTCTGACTCAGCCTGGACAGTCCTGAAAGGAAATGCTGTGCTCTATGTCAACCCCAGGGCTTGTTTCTTAATCAATGCTCTTTTTTACTGGTCGGACAGTAACAAGTGAGTGAGTGAGAGGGGTGAAACGCACGGGGCGGGGTGAGTGAGAGAGTGCCCCCCGAGGCACCTTGAATGATGGCAGATCCATCCCCTGGATGCAGGCGTGCTGGAAAAGGATGGCTCTGTCTGAGTGGCCATGATGCTGCCCATGTCCCAGCTGGGGACAGAACGGGCTGGGAAGTAATCAGTGTTTCACTAGTCCCATATTTAATTCTCCAGTACTGTCGCGGGCTCCACAAATCACGCCTACCCGCCACTGCGGCTCGGCTGCCTCCGATGCGGGAGGCTCCTCCACGCAGGAGATGCATCAAATGGGACCTGACACTTAATCTAAAAAGCTGCAGGGAAATAACCGGTCATCTGCATAGGGCAGCAAGTCAGTGCAGGGAACAGAGCCTTCCAGAGACCCAGCAGGTCCTAGAGGCAGCCTGGGGAGGGGGATGACAGACTCTGCAGAGCAGGAAGTGAGGGGCAGGACGGCAGGCCCATGGGGAAGAGGGCATGGGATGGGGGCACATCAGAGGGGGGTGGGATCAGAGCCCATCAGAGCGGGGCGTCTGTCTGCCCTCACTCTAGCACCAGTTCTGAAACTCTCAGGCCACACTGAAGCCCACTCCTTGCCCCGGGGGAAGCGAAGGGGCGGCAGGACAAATGCTGGTAACACTCACTGTACAGCGCGGGCAGAGCCATTCACCGTTTGGTATTTCCGGCAGAGGCGGGTTCAGACAGTGCAGGTGATAGGAAGACGGGCAGGTGTCACAGCACAGCAGCTCCCCGCCATCCTTACACACACGGCAAAACTCCATGTGGTCATCCTCCTCCTCTTCGCCTCCTTCCTCGTCCTCCTCCTCCTCTTCCTTCGGCTCCCACTGGATCCCTTCCTTCTCCTAGGGAAGGTGCATCAGCACAGTGCTGAGTATTTACTTAGGTGGCCCATCCAGTGCCCCAGGGGTGTCTGATAGGTGTCTGAACACACACGGGCGCTTTCCCCTGCGGGCCGAGTTCTCAGCCCTCAGCACCCGAACACGCAGCTGCAAGAGCTCCTGTTGGGGTAGGAACTGCGTGAGGAGGCTGAGAAGCCACGTCAGCCTGGCAGGGATTCGGATCCATGAATCCAGGGAGTCAAGGCCATTTCCAACCTGAGTCTTAGCTCCACTAAGCCGCCTCTCTGGTGAACACTGCAACCAAGTTTGGCTGCAGCCAAGTCCTGCTGCTCTGGTCCAGGACATGGTTTCAGAGCCATTGATCACACGGCACCAACTAAAAAGCAAAGGCTCCTTTTGGACAGGGTGCCGCTGCGACTTAGATAAGCCCATGTGCGGTGAGGAGTGGGACACACAAATCTCTGAGCGCTCCTCTCTGCAGAAGAGGAACCCTCCTTTTACTAGTGCTCCCAGCTATGTTCTAAGCTGATTTTCAGCAGCAAAGTTACCCAGTTTCAAACCAACCCCACAGTTACTCACACAGTGCGGGCAGCTCCACTTGCCCTCCGGTGCTTTCTCCAGCTCAGGATCCAGGCAGACGAGGTGATAGGCGCGAGGACAAGTGTCGCATAGGATAATCTCCCCTCCCTGCTGGCAGACTTCACAGTAGTCCTGGTGGTCGGTCTCGTATCCATCCCCTTCTTCAACTAAGAACAAGGGACACACAGGACAGTCAGAGAAGCAGCAGCCATCACATACTTTCCCAGGAGGAAACGAGACAATTTCTCTTGTAAAAGGATTCATTATATTTAAGGAAACAAAGAGAACATTCCACCTTAGTCCCCATCTATTACATTCCCCTACCTCTCTGTCCCTCAGCATCAGTTTATCTGGGTCTTTGCACACAGCATCATCTCACCTCTGTCTCTCTTTCTCTCTCCACACTGTATCATCCTTTGGTTCCTTCAGGCTCTCAATGGAGAATGCCAGAACCTGGAGAGGTTGCAAGGGAGGCCAGTCAGAGAAACCTCCGCAGATACCATCACCATCAACTGCAAATGTACCATGCAACAATAATACAGCCGAGAAGGACTCTTCCTCTTTGGACTACTCTGGTCTCCCTGTGTGTGCACTAGACTCAGAGGCAGGAGCTCATCCAACCTGGTACAGCAGGGGACAAGGAAGGGCAGGATAGCTCTATGGTTAAGGCACTGGACTAGGACTCAGCAGACCTGGCTTCAAGTCCCAGTTCTGCCACAGCCTCCCTGAATGACCTTGAACAAGTCACTAAAACACTCTGTGCACAACTGCTCCTCTGTAAACTAGGGAAGATAATGAGTCTCCCTTTGTCAGTCTGATCTACTAGGACTATAAGCTTCTTGGGGCAGAGTCTGTCTCTCGCTATGTATTTGTACAGCACCTCGCACAACTGGGTCTCCATGCACTGCTGCAACGTGAATAACAAACAAAAAGACTAAACAGATTCCGTCTTCATGTAGGGGACTGATTTGCAGCCAGTCCCAGTCTTCGTGAGCTCAGCTCTCACCGGTGTAAGATGTCAAACCCAGAGAATGAGGACTGCCGGGGTGAGACAGTCTCATTTCCTATCCCAGCAGAAGCTTCCAGCCCCACATCCAGAAGCTGCCCTTTGATTTGTTGAAAGTATAACCTGAGGGTGAAGATAAGAAGCTACAGGATATTTGGAATTTCTGGATCTGAAATATCTCGTGCGGAGCAAGGACGGAAGATAAAAAGAAAAGGATCCTTTCTGTCGCACTACAAGAGTGAATGGCTGCCCAAGCTGAGAACACAGCGGGGACGGTGCTGCCATGGAGCAGATGGCTGTGCTGAGCCAGCAACAGCTGAGGAGAAGCCAAGCTGCTGCCGTGAATGCAAGTCCGGGATGGTGGGAGGAAACAAGTACTGCACTTCGCTCCTGGAGTCCTTCGGGGGCGGAGAGAGACGCCGCCAAGCCAGTGTCAGCGGAATACTTCCGGGCCGTTCGGTCCAAAGGGACCTTTATGGATTTTCTCAGTCGCAATGAAGCAGAGAAAGTGTTGCTAAAAAAAATCAATGGTATCCAAAAAACGATACATACGTCTGATCCAACACCCTGCTGCGTGCCTTGTCCTGCTGCTTGCATGCATTTCTTATCCCAGGGCACGTCCATGAGGCTGAATGAAGCATGTGCCTTGTGAATTACTCTGGCATTTAACACAGGGAAAAAAACCCTAATCTTGTTCACATCTTCATGCTCTCCTATGTCAGCTAGACACCTTGGCCTACGTGGCTGGCCACTCTGTAAGGCTAAATTTACTGGTGGCGTGTTCCCGCAAATACCATTTTCATGGAAGGGAAACGATGCCAGGCCAGCAGACAGGGCTCTCCCTCCAAAGCAAGGCAGCGCTGAAAGAACGGGAGCTGCTCACACCCCTGGTGAGACACAAGCCAGCAGTGGCATTTCGCGTTGGGTGTGAATGAAGGCGCCCCTCGCCCCCACACACCCCCACATGGAGCCAGGGTCAGATGCTGCACTGGAAGCTCCCACACAGGGCTCCAGGGACCAGAGAAGCACACATCAAAGCAGGAAATCCAAACAGAACAGGAGCGGAGTACAAAGAAATGGCCTACTCCTCTTTTTCTTTCTCCTCCTCTTCCCTCTCTTCCCCAAGCCCGCCGAGCATTCGGAGCGCACCGAAGAGCTGTTGATGCTGGCGCTGTCGAAGTCCGACTCCTCCCGCTCCTCCTCTTCACTCTGCAAGGGAAATCAAACCACACAGAGGCAAAGCATTGGCTTCTCGTCCCCCGCTGCCAGAGGGCCAGTCCTTGTGGCAGGAGGAGCGCAGCATCGAGAAGCTGGGCAAATGCACAGGGAGAACACAGCTCATTGAGTAAGCTCCTCAGGGCTGAGTCCCACTGAGGCCAAGCGGTAAAGCTTGCGGGTTCATTGAGTAGTTAGGAATAGGCCACAGGCAGGTTTATACAGCTCCTGGTGACATTATGCGGAGATTATGCAAGTGCGTCACAAAGTAAATCTTATGTATTATACCAATCTCTTGGACTCAGTGTCGAGCCAAATAGGGCTGGATTGTATCTGGCATCTGCAGGACAATGCTCTCTCTCCTTCAGCTCTGAAGAGAGGCTGCCAAGCCTGTTCCCTGGCACCTCCAGCAGCCGCTGAAGGGAGCAGACAGATTAAGATCCCAAATCACTGAAAGACTCTAAGTGCAGATTTAAAGAGTGCAAATCAAGCCATTTAAATCAGGCGACAGTCCAGTTCCTTCTCCACTTACCTGACAAGAGTCGGAGGTGGGGCTCCCTGGCTGTCTCTGATAACACCTTCACAAATGCACAGATTGCACTGCACAACCAGCCAGGGGTCATCCTGGGACAGCTCAGTGTCCCCTGAACACCGGGTATTGGCCAGAGGCAGGACACTGGACCAGAAGGTCTCAACGGTCTGATCTAACACCTCAGCCGCTAGGGCCACTCCCTGCACCTCTTACCGATGCCAACAGCCTCACTGGAGTCAATGGCACGGCTTGGGTGAGTCGGGGTTACAGCTTCAGGCAACTAGACAGGTTTAGTCTTGCAGGAGAAATGCAGCCTCCTCACCCAGGGCCTGGTGTGTAAAGAGCCGTTGGCTCGTGCCCTTTAAAAGTAGCTCCATGAGATACTGTGTTTGGAGCACAGTTCAGATTTTGCCTGGAGCACGAAACGAGACTGATCCAGCCAACAGGAGCTTTGCGTATCAGACACAATGAGGGCTCAGAATTCCAGGCTCACCCAGAATAGCCCCTGCCACGAAAAGCACTAAACAAGCATGTGTGTCTGTTGAAGTGAGGGGGAGCGGAGCTGGGGGAAACAAAGCTACCACATCCTCTGCTAAAAGCGGGGAGCTCTCCTCTCCTCCCTCGCTTGGGTGGCTGCACTACTTCTCCTGGACCGATACAGTGAGGGCACCCCCGTACCCCCCGTTGCTTCAGTCTGCCATAACCCCGGCATGTGCATGCGCACACAAAAATTCACACACTTGCTACTTCGTTGATTTTTTTTTTTTTTTTTGCAAATAGTTAAATAAGCTAAAACTTACACTGTGACATCACACCTAAAATTAACATGTCTAAATTCTCATTCTGGACCCTAAACCCTTCTCCCCAAAGCTCTGATTTATACACACACAAACACACACACACACACACACCGTACTTAGTCCTCTGACTAACCGTGGGAGAAACTCTGAGCTTTTAGCATCACTTGAAAATGTGAATGCACAAATCTAGGGTCCACTTTTGAAAATTTGCCACATATTCACATACTTATGATTGAAAACTACTGCAGCGGATTGGTTCAAAAACGCTCCTTTCACTTGAATCTTTGTTGCACAAAAGTAATTTACAAACTGATTATATTACATGTAATGGCTCCAGAGGGTTAGTGAACTCCAATAAGGCTAAATTAATGGGATTTTGATCAATATTATCAAGACCTACAGGAGTTCTGTCCTTATTCTATAGTTATTTAAAATATTTATTCTTTAAAATACTCTGCATACATTTGATATTCATACACTGCCAAGTGCACAGCATGCAAACTGTATTACAGATTTTTTTGGCCTTGCATTTATTCCTGTGGTCTTCTACTCCAGGAACTGTGCTGGAAAATCACAGGCTAGATATGGTAATATAATTAAAGCATTTGATAATTCTCTCTGACATACATTCAGTACGAGGGTAGGCCCTAAACAGTTTATTTGCAAATGAAATCTGAAATTATGTTATCACCGAACTCACCACAGGAAAGAATTAAAACTGATTCTATGATTTTAGTGGAAGAAATTCCCAAACATGCCATCTCTAGGAACGTGAGCCTGGATGCAGTTCTCTTCCAAAGGGTAGAATACCCACTGAGCAAAGATTGGTTTCTAACAAAGAAACGCAAATGAGATTTTAAGATTTCCTTACCCAGGCCCAAGTGGGGAGGGACTGCCAGCATTTCCCCAGCTGAAGGAAGCTTGGCGCTTCCAATGGGTGAAATGCATGCCAGTGCAAAGGGCCAACGCCCCACGTAAATTCAACTTGAGCCCTTGGTGCGGCACAGACTGTGTGCTGGCCCCTCTCTGCACAGGAGTGAATTTCCCCCTGTGCAAAATGGGTTGACAGTCACAGCCCAGCTCTGTGAGACAAGTAGCCACATCCAATACCCATCAGTGCAACTGGCACTAATTGTCTCCCTTCTTAGCAGAGACACACCAAAACTGAATGAGCTACAGAACTGAACACCCTTCTCCTATCTGCGAATGGGGCTTCAGGCAGGATAAGGAACACCACAGGAGGAAGCTTGCCCGGCCACTACCCAAAATGTTGGGGGAAACAGAGGACTCCAATCTCCAGGGCTGCCCGCCCAGCACCCTCCACCAGCACCAACATTCGCCATTTACAGACAGAGAGCGCTTACTGATGAGCCTTTTTTCCTTTTGTTGGCGATTCCTCCAAACCGGAATTTCACGCCCGCCATCTTTTTCCCCTTCCCCTTTTTCTTCCCATCTTTGGAGCCCTTGATTTTCTTCCGCACTCCTGGACCTAAATGAACAGAAAGATTTTCTTGACGTTCTAATGATGGACACCTTGATTTCTACATTCTCCCCAAACCCTATTGCTCATAATTTACCTTCGTTCAAGTATCTTCTGAGTGTTTGCATTGCCTGCGTAACTTTCTAGCTTATCACATCGTGTTCCCCCCACACACTGAATCCACACAGAGGATAAGTGCCTAAAACTGCTACCCGTTAAGAGAGCGACTCCTTTAGTTAAAGAGGCAAAGGCCCTGTGCTTTGGTGCTGAAGGTCCCATGTTCAATGCTGGGAAAGAACCAAGGCTCTACATTTTTACAGTTTCCCTCCTGTTTGAAAACGATGCTTCACAAACATTCCTCACTGAACTTTATAAATGCAAGAGCAGAGCAATGAAAGCAGCATGTCTCCTTCCCCGAAGGTGCTTCTTTCCCCTGTGGCTCTCTGTGTCTCCGCAGTGGGAACCCTAAGCAAATACTGAGGGGTGGCCAACTGCTTCCCTTGTAAACCAGGGGTTCATATTTAACTGCTTTGCATTTGGGGGAAAAGTGCAGCCTGCCCCCCAGGGGCCAGGAAAGGGACTGCAGCTCAGATACTGCAGAGATGGGTGCAAATAACTAACCTCTGTGGGTGTGGCCAGGGGGGACAGACGACAGCTTCCTCCCACAAGATCAGCTAAGTGGACTGAGAGATGCTGCACGAAAACTATGGGAAAGGAAAACTGTTGCAAACAGCACCATGCCTCTTGGGCTGCTCCTTTCAAAGCTCTTGAGGCATCAGGATTTGATTGCTGCATAATTGGAACAGAAACTTCATGAAGAAAAACACTGTAGGAACAAAGGGAGATTTCTCTCCCTCCTCCCCTTCCCCATTTTTTCTTCCAATGACTCATGAAGCCCTTTCTGAACGCTGAGGGAAGCCTCCCGTCTCTGCTGTCAGGAGCAGGAAAATGTTAATAGTTACAGACTCATTTCAATAAAAATGAGATCAATTCCGTAGGAGCTGCTGTAGATTAACACGCTTGCAAATGGGGTTTGAAGGCAGTGTCCTTCCACCTCCCCGCTAGGAAATCAAATACCTTATAAGTTATTTTTGTAATCTTTTCTACTGTGGTCTCTTCACTATTCTTGAATGTCCTACGTCGGTCCAGACGGAATGCATCGGCCAGACTGCTGAATATTACAGAGGCATACAGACAGAACACATCTGCTCTGCCAATGTCCTGCCCTGCATCCTACCACCCCTACTATTCCATTTGAGTTTCCCCCCAACAGATTTTCCAGTGCCCCTCAGTCCTGATCTTACTGGCCTGCAAATTCACTCCAGCTTGAAAAGTGCCCTTTCCAGGAGGTTGCGAGATTTCACTAGCGAATATTTATAAAGCTCTTGGAGATCCTTTGTGACACAGGTATCACATCAAGAAATATTGTTATTATTGCTTTATTTAAAGTAGGATACAAATCCTCCATGGTCCTGGAAACGTGATCGGTCATTATATAAAGAATCACAGTTCATCTGTGGCATTTATTGTAGAGTACAAATACAAACTACAGACACAGACTCACAAGTTTCCCCACAGCTCAATTTCCAGCTTTGTTTCCCTTACTTACCAGGCTTCACACCCTGTCTGGAACTAGCTAGGTAGCACACGGACACATCTAGTGGCTAAATAATATACTGCAAGTAAATGTATTGTTTATCATTGCAAGATCTACCCACGCTGTCTGGTTAGCCATTCATTCCTGCCTGGCACGTTACCTTTGCCCTCCTTGGTTTTCGCTTTCCTGATGGCCATGGGCAGAGCAGACTGCTGAGGGCTGACAGAAAGCTGAGGTGCAATGGTGACTGTTTCCACGGCTGCTGCCACTGCAGCTGCAGCTGCCGCGGCCGAGCTGCCTTTGAACGGGTTGTTGGCGCTGAATTCTCGCCATTTGGCACCAAGCACTGTCATCATCTTGGACATGGGGATTTTGGGATTCTTCTTGGCAATGAGAGGCCTGCAGGGTGGGGTAGGAAAAACCATCAGTCGATAGGGCTCCTCTGCGGTCTGATTGTTTTAACTCATCACACGCTGGGGAAAAGCGTAACATGAATTAGCAGCCAATGCCTGACACCGATTGTGACAAGTCACTGGCAACAGATGCACTGAAAACAGTAGAAACCAAAACTGCCCTAGCAAGGAAAGAGAGGGGAAATGTTCAAATATTCAATGACTTTTTTTCCCCAAAAAAATCTTTGATCGTTTTCAACCAGCTTAAAGAGCAGCCAGGGTGGGGGGAAATTCACAATTTTCAACAACAAAAAATTGGGAAAACTTTATTTTTTGGTGAAAATGTTTCCGCCTTTTCCAACCAGTCCTGCAACGAAACCCCTTGGAAAACAGCGTCCTGAAGAACACCTCTCGGATACATGTGGTGAAGCACCAAGGTATAGATGATGCACCAGGGCAGCAAACTTAAATTGGCCAAGAGAATGCTTTGGAGCCAGGGATAATTCATTACTACTTGTATAGCACCGTGGCATGACATTGCATCATTTCCCTGTTGCATCTGACCTCGCCCTCAAAGCGAATGGTAACCTTCTAGGGTCCAACTGGCTATGGGCGAGAGCAGAACCCCACTTGGGATACATCCAGAGTCTCTACAGAGATTGTAGCCCAGATCCTGCATGTGACGAGGAGCGGATTGTGCAGTCTGGCAGAATGTCAGTAAACTGCACATGTCTGGTTTTCTGTTGCTGAGGAATCAGCATTCTAATGCCTTGGCTTTATCAACTCGATTGGGTAGTAACCAAGTACAAAACAGATCCCCATCCATACGCACAATGCTCCACTGCTCAGCCTCTTACCTGAGAAACTGACTGAAAGCCTTGTAATTAGTCAGAGTATGGTAATCTTCTTCTGAGAAAATATAATCCACATCATCCAGGCCCCACTCCTCCATTAGCTGCGCTGAGCTCTTGGGCTCCTATGGATTTACAAAGGGATACATTTAATGCAAATGACGGAGGTGCTATGAACGAGCGGTGTGCAGCCACGCCCATGATATACTGCACGCCATCTGCTACTCCTAGACCTCCGCAACATGGGGATTGGTTTCTGTTGGTTAAAGGATGGAGTGTGCACAAGTGCTTAGTAAACAGACACACTACCTAGCTGGAAAACAATACAATGCCTTCCAAATGCTTCCCTAACCCCACCACAGCTTTAGTGTCACCACGACATGTAATCCGTGGGCACATCAAATGCATCAGTGGGAACTGCGGCAAAATCCATTTGCTAGTAGCTGTGACAGCACAAGGCCCCGGTCCACTCCGGTGACTCCTGACTCACTGGGTGCTACTGCTTTTCCACACCTTGGGGAGGGGTGACCCTGGTGTCAGAGGATTTTTTGAAAAGCAAAGGCTGTTTTAACATCAGTGTCCGAGGAGCCAGAGAGTCGTCACTCATCTGCTTTTCCACAGAACCAGACACATAAATGAACACAACTGTCCAGGGCACGCCCTCTTGGCAACCGTGCAACAGAGACCTCCGAAGAGCAGCTAAGAGCCAAAATAAGAGAGAGGGACAAGGGGCTGGAGCTGGTTGAAGAAACTTGGATGGAATCATTTTCCTCCAGAATACACGGTGCCATTGACACTGACATGCTTCCCGAAATCAGATCCATTTCGCTGGAACTCTGTTTTGGAAAAAAACGGGAAAAGTTCTGACAATATTGAAATGTCCCATTTCAACAATGTCAAAACAAAACCCTTCAGACTTTCCACTGTGGATTTTTTTCATTTTGTAACAGAATACAGCATTTTTAAAAGTCAAATCCGAAACTAAATGTTTCAATCAACCCAAAACAAAAAGTCAGAATTTTTTTTTGAAGAATTTCAAAATTTTAGTTTTTGCTCCAGTTTGGAACAAAGCCAAATTTCCAAATCCTTCATGAAACAGAATTTCCTCCTCCACACAGATCTCCCAAGCACCAAACCTGCCAGGTTCCCAGTGCCCTCGGCTCCTCTGGGAGCATCTGGGAGTAGGAGCACTCCACTCCCTGCAGGACTGGACCCCCAGTTAGGCATACAGGCAGAGACTGAAATGAAACTCCTCCTGAGGAAGCACCTGGTGAAAAACAGCCCCCTTGGCCTTTTCCCACATCCCATCCTCGCATTGAGAGAGAGTAACAGGGAGGTGCCCTAAAGTTCCCATTCTCAGAAACAACCCGACTAATGGACCTAGGTCCTGGACAGTAATTGTAGGTACCTTTAAACCTCCTTCCTCATTATCATCCTCCTCTTCATCTTTCTTCTTGCGCTTGGCTTTTTTCTCTTTCTTTTCTTTGAGCTTCTTCTTCTTCTTTTTGTTGGGCGAATAGTCACTCCCTTCGCTCTCAGATTTCTCCTCCAGTTCCTCTTCATTTTCAGATATTTCATCATTACTCCCCTAAGAGAGGAAGGGACAATGAAGGAAGGCCAGGATCTCCCCTCCCCAGCTTCCCTGCACAAACCCCTCTGGTCGTTTGTCAGATTCAGTCATTCCTATTAATTACTTTTACATTTTAAAACACTCCAGCCACAGTACATGTGGATAGCAACACCCTAGCACAAGTCAAGGAAACGCCACTCTCACTTGGCTTAATCTGGGCCATAAGAAGGGTCTGACTGTAGGAGACACAAGCAGAAATATTGTTTTCCATTCATTATTTTGTTGCAGAGGAAGGACACTCCTCTGGTTAAGACACTGGACTGGGACTCAGCAGATCTTCTATATAATGATGCAGACAGGCGGCCAGCAGCAGAGTGGAGGCTGTATAGTTTGTTGCACTGAATAAGGCATGTAGGATGACAGGCCTGGTGGGCAGGTGACATATGTGCGTATTTGGTGCACGCACCTTATGACCCTCAGGGACCGAGTACGGGCTCTTGAGACCAGTGTCTGAACTGGAGGAGCTAAGGGAGACAGAGACTTTCCAGGACAGTTGAGCAGTCCCACCCCAGTCTGACAGCCTCTGGACAGTTGAGGAAGATGAAAGACTTGGGGAAGGAGCACATCCAGCTGGAGTGGAGGGAAGCGATCCCATGGTTGGGACTCTCCTTCCAGGTGGTGTCACGGGATCCTCTCGCATTGAGGATACCCCTCCAGAGGAGGGGAAATCTGTTATTAGGAAGAGACAGGTAATCGTAATAGGAGATTCATTTATTAGAAATATAGATAGTTGGGTTTGTGATGACCGGGAGAACCGCATGGTAAATTGCCCGCTCGGTGTGAAAGCTGCGGCCCTCTCAAGACATCTAAACAGACTTACGTGCACGGCTGGGGAGGAGCCAGTGGTCATGGTACATGTAGGAACCAGTGGCACAACAAAAGGTAGTAGAGAGGGGTCCTTGAGGCTAAATTTAGGCTGCTAGGTAAGAGATTAAAGTCCAGGACCTCCATGGAAGCATTCTCTGAAATGCTTCCAGTTCCAGACAGGGATCCAAGTAGACAGGCAGAACTGCAGGGTCTCAATGTGTGGAGGAGACAATGGTGTTCGAAGGAAGGAGTTAAGGTTATTAGGAACTAGACAACCTTTTGGGAAAGGAGGAGACTATACAGGAAGGATGGGCTCCACCTAAACCAAAATGGAACCAGGCTGCTGGCATGTCAAATTAAAAGGTTGTACAGGAGTTTTTAAACTAAGGGCTGGGAGAAAGCCGACAGGTCAGACAGACACATCCCATAGGCAAGGATTTATTAAAGGGGATACTCTATATCCTAGTAAAGAGGAGAGGACAGAAGTTGATAAAGTACAGGTAGGAGCTGAAGAGAAACAGTCAAATGAACAAGAGTCCCCATTCAATTACCTCCTGAAGGCAGACAACTAAGTATGGACAAATTGTATAAGTGCTTGTACACAAATGCTAGAAGTCTAAATACTAAGATGGATGAACCTGAGTGCCGTGTATTAAATGAGGATATTGATATCATAGGCATCACAGAAGCTTGGAGGAACGATGATAACCAATGAGATGGGGTAATACCAGGATACAAGATATATCAGAATGATGAAATAGGCCATGTTGGCAAGCGAGTGGCACTATATGTACATGTAAGCATGGGGTCAAATACAGTAAAAATCTTAAACAAATCAAACAGCACCACAGAATCTCTATGGATAGAAATTCCAGGCTTGAATAATAAGAGTATAGCAGTAGGAATATACTAGCGACCACCTGTCCAGGATGGTGATTGTGAAATGCACAGAGAGATGAGAGAGGCTACAAAAACAGAGAACCCAATAACAATAGGGGATTTCAACTATCCCAATATTGACTGGAAACATGTCACCTCATTATGCAATCCAGAGAGAAAATTTCTAGACACTATTAATGACTGCTTCTTGGAGCAGTTTGTCTTGGACCCCAGAAGGGGTGAGGCAATTATTTATTTAGTCTAAGTGGTACATAGGATCTAGTCCAAGAGGCGGATATAGCTGAACCACTCAGTAATAGTCACCATAATGTCATTAAATTTAACATCCTTCTAGGGAGAAAATTGCCTAAGAAACCCACCACAGTAGCATTTAGCTTCAAAAAGGGGAACTACACAAAAATGAGAAGGCTAGTTAAACGGAAATTAAAAGGAATAGTCCAAAGAGTGAAATGCCTGCAAACTGTGTGGAAACTGTTTTAAAACACCATAAAAGAGGCTCAAACTAAATCTATACCCCAAATTAAAAAAAAAAAACGCAAGAGGGCCAGAAAATGCCACCATGGCTAAACAACATAGTAAAAGATGCAGTTGGAGACAAAAAGACGTCCTTTAAAAATTGGAAGTCAAATCCTACTGAGGAAAATAGAAAGGAGCATAAACTCTGGCAAGTCAAGTGTAGAAGAAAAATTAAGCAGTCCAAATTTGAAGAGCAACTAACAAAAGACAAAAACTAACAGCAAAAAAAAAAAAGTTAAGTACATCAGAAGCAGGAAGACAGTCCAAAAATCAGTGGGGCCACTGGATGACTGAGGTACTAAAATAGCACCCAAGGAAGACAAGGCCATTGCAGAGAAGCTAAATGAATTCTTTGCATCAGTCTGCACTGCAGAGGATGTGAGGTGTGGTGATTTCCACACCTGAGCCATTCTTTTTAGATGGCAAATCTGAGGATCTGTCCCACATGCAGGTGTCAACAGGGGAGGCTTTGGAACAAACCGAGAAACTAAACCAGGGGTGGGCAAACTTTTTGGCCCGCAGGCTACATCGCGGTGCGAAACAGTATGGAGGGCCGGGTAGGGAAGGCTGTGCCTCCCCAAACAGCCTGGCCCCTGCTCCCTATCCACCCCCTCCCACTTGCCGCCCCATGACTGCCCCCCTCAGAATCCCCGACCAATCCAACCTCCCCTGCTCTTTGTCCCCTGACCACCCCCTCCGGGGACCCCCACCCCTGACCGCCCCCCCCGGGACACCCCCCCAGCCAACCCCCCCTGTTCCCCATCCCCTGTGGCTGCAGGGAAGGGTGGGCAGCAGGGGAGGGGCCAGGGGCTAGCCTCCCCAGCCGGGAGCTCAGAAGCCGGGCAGGATAGTCCCGCGGGCCACCCACCTCTGAACTAAACAGTAACAAGTCACCAGGACCAGATGCAATTCACCCAAGAGTACTAGTTCAACTCAAATATGAAACTGCAAGGTTACTAACTGTGGTGGGTAACTTATCACTTAAATCAGCCTCCATATCAGAGGACCGGCAGATAGCTAATGTAATGTTGATTGTTTCAAAAAGGCTCAGAGGCGACCCTGACAATTACAGGGTGGTGAGCCTAACTTCAGTACCAGGGAAATTGGTTGAAACTACAGTAAAGAACAGAATGATCAGACACATAAATGAACATGCTCTATTGGGGAAGAGTCAACACAGCTTTTGTAATGGGAATTCAAGGCCTATCACTCTATTTGAATTCTTTGAGGGCATCAACAAGCATGTGGACAAGGGTGATGCAGTGGATACAGTGTCCTTGGACTTTAAGCATGCCTCTGACAAGGTCCCACAGCAAAGGCTCTTAAGCAAAGTGAGCGGTCCTGGGTAATCAGTAACTGGCTAAAAGATAGGAAACAAAGGGTAGGAATAAAGAGTCAATTTTCATGGTGGAGAAAATAAATAGAAAGTAAATAGCAGAGTGCCACAAGGAACTTGTACTGGGACAAGTGCGGTTCAACATATTCATAAATGATCTGGAAAAAGGAGTAAACAGTGAAGTGGCAAAATGGCAAAATTTGCAAATGACACAAAATTACTCAAGGTATTTAAGTCCAAGCTAACTGCAAAGAGCTACAAAGAGATCTGAAAAAACTGGGTGACTGGGCAAGAAAATGGCAGACGAAATTCAATGTTGATAAATGCAAAGTAATGCACATTGGAAAATGTAATCCCAAAATAATGGGGTCTAAATTAGCTGTAACCTCTCAAGAAAGAGATCTTGGACTCATGGATAGTTCTCTGAAAACATCTGTTCAACGTGCAATGGCAGACAAAAAAGCTAACAGAATGCTAGGAACCATTAGGAAAGGGATAGATAATAAGCCAGAAAATATCATCATGCCATTTTATAAATCTATGATATGCCCACATCATGAATAGTGCCTGCAGGTCTGTTCACCGCATCTCAAAAAAGATATATTAGAATTGGAAAAAGTACCGAGAAGGGCAACAAAAACGATGAGGGGGATGGAGCAGCTTCCGTATGAGGAGAGATTAAAATGACTGGAATATTTCAGTTTACAAAAGAGACGACAAAGGGGGGCGATGATCGAGGTCTATAAAATCATGGCTGGTGTGGAGAGAATGAATAAAGAAATGTTAATTACCCCTTCTCATATAACCAGGGTCATCCAATGAAATTAATAGGTAGGTTTAAAACAAACATAAGGAAGTACTTCTTTAGTTAATCTGTGGAACTCATTACCAGGGGATGTTGTGAAGGCCAAAATATAATTGGGTTCAAAAAAGAATTAGACAAGTTCTTGGAGGATAGGTCCATCAATGGCTATTAGCCAAGATGATCAGGGATGCAACCCTATGCTCTGGGGGTCCCTTAATCTCTGACTGCTGGAAGCTAGGACTAGACAACAGGAGATAGATCACTCAATACATTGCCCTGTTCTGTTTGTTCCTTCTGAAACATCTGGCACCAGCCACTGTTGAAAGACAGAATACTGGGCTAGATAGACCTCTGGTCGACCCAGCATGGCCATTCTTATGTTCTGATATCCAATCCCAGTTCTGCCACAGACTTCCTGGGTGACCTTGTGTCTCAGTATCCCATCTGCAAAATTGAGACAAGAATACTTACCTACATCACAGACGTGCTGGGAGTATAAATGCACCAACGTGTGCTAAATGCTCAGAAACTACAATGGTGAGCACCATAGAATACTCCTGGGGGCATGCTGCGCCAAAAATTTTAAAATTCTGC